TTTTGATATCGACCCACAAAACAAAATTAGGATCTGCTGCCTTGCTCGCTCGCTTCAGGCTCGCTCGCTGCGGCAGCAATTACTACTGACGCCGACTAATGAAAACCAGCCTTAATTCTGCTTTGATATTTACACGTGTGAAAAGAAAAGCTAGCGGATTCAAACGTTCATCAATGAATATAATTGGAACGCTTATTTATTTTAACGTAGCACAACGAATTTATTGCTTTACTGAGTCTGCATGGATCACTTTGTTGGACTTTGCGAAACGTAAAATATTTGTCCGCGATACATTTCATAATTTTAAACGTGGTTATCGCCATATTCATGACCTGCGAATAGATCTACTGTTGAATCCACAGTGAAGTGGTGGCAGATCATTTGTAGAGGGAGATGGCCGCTTTTACACACTGGACAGAGTAGTTTGTCATTTTTTAACAACAAGCTTCGAAACAATGTAGCCGCAATATAGAATAGAGCATTGGAAACAAATTCACTGTGGCCTTCTTTTCTGAAATGTTCGCACACGACCATCGTCTCATTTGTAGGGTTTTCAGTGACAGAGACTTGTTTGGACTGTCCATTGGTGGCTGATGTTTAGTACCATGACTGCACAAAAGCTGGGTACACTGTATATTAGCTGAGTGATTTGCCAAGAAAATTAGTGATGGGCGATTACCGATTACTTGGTATCGATACCACCCGATACCAGGCCCAAACAGGAAGTAGTCGATACTGCACGGTATCGAAAAAGTGTTTCGATTACTTTTAAAATTAGACATTCATTATAATCCTGTAGTTGTGTCATCGTTTTCATGGTTATTTCTAATAAAATTTATGTACTTTTTGGTATTTTGCTGCATTTAACAATTTAATCAAACTTCCTTTATACTTTATTTGACATTCTATTCTCGCCGACAAAATAAATTATGAAAAAGGCGGGAAATAAAGTAATTTTTGAAAACCTTCCATTCTTTGAAGCTCTTGGTCGCTTTTATCCGCCATAACTGCCAAGATGTATTTAGAAAATACTCGCAAAACAGGATTGCTAAAGATTGACCTGCAGACCATATGCCATATTTTTGAAGAAATTTGATCCAACCGAGTAATCGACACTATAATCCAAGTAATCGACAGGTTATTCAGCAGGTCTTACACTAGTTACAGCTACGCAAGCCTTCGTCTCAAATTTCAAATTTCAACCTGCGAATGGGCATACTCATTATGGGCTGTATGGCCTGTGGAGGAGGTAGCAGAGCTGTGGTGACAAGATTGAATCACTTCATGAATTCTTATGCGAAATTCAAATCACTCCAGGTCGCTTTAAATTGTGGATTCCCTGACTCAACTCAAGTTCAGCCATTGGCTTGAATCAACTTGACCACAACCGGTGACTTGATTCAACTGTCCAGAGTAGAGCAATTTACTTGACTTGATCAAATATTGAAATCGACTCGCAACTCAACCTCATATAAAGGTGACTTCTTACAACACTGTACACAAATATAAACCATATTACATATGAAGCTTCTTTAAACTGAATTATATACTGTATGGCCGTAATCAATTCCTTCGCACACAGTTTTCCTCAACTAAAATTGATATGAATCAACTAACTACCACAAATTCTGTATATTCAAACTGGAACAATAAGTCAATATTGTTGAATTATTCGTTGACTATGTACCTATTTGATTAATACTGCATATTGCCAATCGAGCTAACGAAATCTTTAGAAACTTGAACCAAGCCTTCTGTGCAAACGTCTTCGTTTGCTGCATGAATACCACTTATACGACATAATTTTCACTCTTCAGCGTTTGGTATTATGCTTTTTATAGGCCACATAAAATAAATTCCTTGATTCTCATCACCGCCCGACTGTATTTATAAAGAGCCGTATGAATTTTTTTTATATTTTGTTATACAATATAAATGTACCGCCCGACAAATATTTCAAGACAGTTAAGTTTTTTATATTTAAAATTGGGTTTTTATTGCCATTTTAAACTGCCAATTTCAAACAAATAGAACCTTGAAAGAAATTTCATTGCATTTTAACGGAACTTCGCATTCAGTTGAAGGGTTCAGTCATTGTTCGTGGAGAAATATGTTTATTTCGGTTTGTGATACTTTACTTTGGAAATAACAGAAATATTAAATGTTAGGAATTATTTTTTTATTTATTGATGATAAATTATATAAATATAAAATATAAACCTCCCGGCTCTTCGACATTTTCAAAGTGTAGTGATCAGAATTCAGAATCAAGGAATTTATTTTATGTGGCCATATATGACATATGTGTAATAATTTTTACGAATTTTATAATTCGCAGGAAAATTCGTGCCACAGTACCACAGGGCGAGCCATCTTCTCATTGTTGTTCCAAGAATAGTTTGAACGAACGAATGGGCTATGCAGTTTATACCTTATAGTATTATTTTATAGTATATAGATCCTTACTCCAGCTATTTTATATATAAATTATATAATAGCATATTTATATTTTAGTGCTCATAGGACATGTAAGCAATAGAAATATGATTTCGAAATGTTTGAACATAAATAAGAAAGCTATCCTCACCACTTAATTAGTAAATCGTGGACCACATTTGATGAAACACCAAGAAACTTTCGATCCGCGATAAATTGAAATTGAAATTTTTCCGCCATTTTGAATTATTTTAATACTTCATGTAATACGGTATTAGTGTTTAGGTTAGGGGTTAGGTTTAAGGTTAGGGTTAGGGTGTGTATATATGTGTATGGAGGTATCCAGTTAACTTTTCAGTACACTATAATATCCATTACATAACGTTTACTATATTGGTGCGCGAAACATAGAACAATTACCTGTAATACGAAATAGTATCACGAAATACTTCATGTAGACTTCTATATCATATAAAAACTGAGAAAATTGAAAACTGATCCGATTTGCTGGTTTCCAACTTAAAGAATCACAGTCAACCGTGATGCTTCGCGCGCTATGTAAATGTCCTATGGTTGCACTTCTCGCAGCTGCTGCGGTTTAGGTCTATATACTAATATAGGTATATCTACACTATACAGACATCATACAGGTCACAGGAACCAAAAGTCAGTACTCGGCAACTGCACTCTGTAGCTCACAATGTCGTCAGATGGCTTTGACAGCGTATTTTTCGCCTCATATCCAAACTAGCTTGGCACTGTTCACCCCTCTGATATTAATGAACCGTTTCCTGTATTTAATTCCATCTGTCCTTGCCTGTCTATAGCAGACATTGACAGCATTTATGTATTTATTACTTTTATTTCTTACCTTATTCCGACTTGTGTTTTGTTTTGATTATTTAGTTTTTGTAGTAATTGTCTTGGCTTCCTAATATATTTTTATATTTTTGTGTTATATTATCAATTCTGTAATGCGATTTACACATTTTGCTTACACTTTGTTATGATTAAATCCATCTAATTGGTTTATTATTTTGTCACGTGATGCTTTCATACTCTTACGCCCGGACTGTAAAAGCTCACTCACCTCAATGAGTGGAGATTCAATCTGAGCCAGGACCTTTTTTAACATATAAGCTGGGGGGCAAATGCCCACAGTCCCCCCTTGTGCCCCCCCCCCACCCCCAGGAAAAGGCCCTTTTTCCTAAATTTATTTACAAACAAACCAGTGAAGAATAACAAAGAGATAAATAGACTTTTGTTTTTTGTGCGTTTTTTCCTTCTTTTATTTCAATTACAAGTATAGCTAGCAAAATTTTAGAACAAATCTGGACGCTCAAAATGCAGGAAATGTCATTTCCGGGCTTCAAATTTCAAAAATTTTCTGCGAGAGTATGCCCCCACACACGTGGCCTTCGACCATTGCTATTCTCCCTCTAATAAGTAATGATAAATTATGGTTAATATTTTTTTAACTTTTTGTGCGTTTTCTTCTTTCTTTCATTTCAATTACAAGTATAGTTAGCATAAATTCTAGAGCAAATTAGGATGCTCAGAATGCAGGAAATTGCATTTCCGGGCTTCAAATTTCAAATTTTCTGGGGGGTATGCTCCCAGACCCCCCTATTCATGTATAGTGTGTTGGCCACACACATGACCTTCCGCAGAAAGGTCCCTTTTCAAAAAGTCCCCCCCCCCCCCCACCGGGGAAATCCTTAAAAAAGGCCCTGATCTGAGCTTTTCTTGAATTGAGTGTCAAATGTCAATGCTGTCTTTGAATAGCTGGAGGCTTAGTGTCGTACCTTACTGTGTGACTACTCATTCTCCAGCTATTCAAAAACAGCATTGACAGTCAAGAAAAGCTCAGATTGAATCTCCACTCATTGAGTGTGAACGTGAGTGAGCTTTTAGAATGCGAGCGTTAGTATAAAAGCCCGTGCATTTTTCCGCCTGATCCCTGCTACTAACTCTTGACGATCGAAGGGCCTTCGCTCGAAACATCGAGTTTCTGCTTGTTTTTTTGAGGTAGTAGACGTAGTAATATAACCACTCAGCACAGCAATTTCACATTAATTAGTACTACCCACACTGGTACATGTAGAGACAGTTTTAGTATTTTTCAAATATCATTTAATTAAAGCTGAATCGGCCCGCGATTAATCGATGTGTGTATAAACGTACCTTACGCCTGGTTTCCACAATGTTCGTAAGTAATGGTCGCAAAGATTGAGTCACGATCTTTCTCATCAGCCGAAATACAACATTTTAGAACTGAAAATACGCGGAGTGATTATAACTAGAGAATACTTATGATTTATATGTAAAACAGATTCAATATTTATTTGCCTTATTGATCAATTTGCATATACATGTATATGATGATCATTCGTGCATGCAAACTATACAAGTACATGCAATTGTTGGGAGGAATTGAATATAAAGCAGCCGACGTGACTGTTTAATACCTTGTATACGTCATTTCATCAAGCACGAATCACGAACTCAAACTCTCAAAGGCTATTACTTTACTGTGGTAATTATTCCTATGTGTCAGATAAACTATGCTTACAGCAAATTTAATCGTTGTGATAACCTTGGCCACTTTGGCCCTTTATTCTACAAATATCGTGACTTCTGCCGTGAGTGACTCTGAATGCGTTGGTGTGCCACAAATCTGCTCTGACATACTGTGGAATGTTACAGCAAATGCCACATTGGCCGGACGAGACGATACATTTCAACAAATCAATTCAACTCTAAAAGCTATCAGAGAAGCAAATGTACAGAAAGAATGTTTGTCAGCAATACAAAGGCTAATGTGTATTAACGCAACTCGTGATTGTAATAATAACACAAATTCGTCGACGTCGTTAATACAGCAATCGTGTATGGTGGTAGACCAAAATTGTACACAGTCAGAGGTTGTAGCAAGGACGTATAGTAGCCGCTTTTGTCCACAAAATAACAGTTCTATGAGCAACAACTCTGAATGTTTGAAAGTAACTCTCGCTAACACTGGGTATTGTCCATATAACGACACATACAAGGTATTGAATGGTTAGGTGATTTATTATAAATATGACATTGTACTTCCCTTCTCATTAATTTATAATCGTATTGCTGCATGTTATGGTCCGCAGAGAAGAGTTATTTCTGTTGCATCATATATGCACACGTCAAAATATTTGAAGACACTATATAATTGTATATATAGCTAATTGCTAGAAATAACATATAAAGTCGGGTTGTATCTGTCTGGGGTGATGTTTATTATGAGTTATGACACTGAGATACATGCAGTAATTAAGACTAGCTACATTTTGCAGGTCGACATACCATTGGTTATGTCTTGTCCAGAAATCTGTTCAAATAATTATACCGAACAAAAGCCATCGGTCAACTAGAACTGACGCGATTTACTTGTTAAGAATGAAAGCAGCTTGAGTTCAACAATATATACAAATAATATACATTAAACTATTACTGTATTTCAATATTAGTGGTAAACTATTTCTCTATTTCAATTCCTTCTTATCTATAACGCTCGTATTCTAGCTATAGCCTATAGGTGTACTGAATTGTCATGGTACCATATTTTTTTTTCGGAAAATACAACTAATTAACAATTAGCCGTCGAAGCGAGATGATTACAAGCTGATATTCCCTGAGGCCGAAGGCGAAGTGTATATAGGCTTGTAATCACCAACCTGAGGCGATTGTTTTAGCATAATGTCAGTATTGATAAAGTTTTATTTATAAATACAACTAATACACGTGTTCATTTTATGAATATAATTTGCATAAATACTTTATTCTGATTTTCAGCCATTTTTTGGTAAAAGCAATAGTCGCTGCTCAGAGCAGTTCTGAGCCGAGTAACTATTGCCTCATAGACATGCAGTAGTTACTGCTGAGCGAGCCAATCAGAATGCTCAAAGGCCATTTTTCAATAATGAAATTATACATGCTTTAAACTTCTATATTTGCTTACTATATATTGGCACTGTACTGATACTTACACTGCCATGCACTGGCATGCACAGACCGTTCAAGATTATATCACTTTTGGAAAATACATTGCAATCAGTGATTTCAATTTTTTAAACATATTGCCTATTCAGGCCTATCCAAATCATGTTGAGTTCAATCACATTTCTCTTATCAGCTGTTCTAATACTTTTCTATTTCATTTAGATTGCAGCAGAAAACATAAGAGAATTTCTGAGAAAAGCGAGCGTGGAAAGTGATAAACTTCGAGCTGCTGCACCAATCGCAAATATTCCAAACGGCACATGCTTGACAGAATACAAGAGGATTAAATGCAAAACGTTTGTATCAACATGCTCAGGATCCAGTAATATTACTAAAGAAAGTTGTGAACAGAAACTGCAGTGGTAGGAATATTAATTATGATTATACTTTAACTCCCGTCTACATTTGCAATTTTTGCTGCAGCTTTCCTCTTCTGATGGATGTAAACGAGCGGATGGGTTACGAAAGTTCTTATAATATGTACCCTCATCTGGACATTCATAACTCACCCACTCGTTCACATTCATCACAAAATCGCACCTAAAATCGGGCCTTTATAGATGCATTCTTAGTCAGATAATCATTTGGGCGGGAAACATGTAGGTACTTATTAATCTGTTGATTGACAAATGTTTGGGCCATCAAAAGAGTTTTGCATGCAAGTAAAAAGTAAAGATTCCACACAGAAGGAAAAATATCCAACTCTAACTTGCGTCACAGTCCTAATTTAAATGCATTGCATTCCACCCTAGCTGCATTGCGTATAATTTCCAATGAAGAGCGGTCAACATTTCTTCCAAGAAACGGTTGGTTGGTTAATTGACCATTTATGGTTATAGCTAGAACGTTCCTTGCATCCTTGATATAATATACCGTTGAGTGTTTACAGGAATGGCGAAACGAACTGCTTCAGACGAGCAAGTTTTCTGTGACAAGCTTTTATGTGACAAGTTTTATTTGCTCGTCTGTACGCGCAACTTTGACAATTTTTTCTATGACAAGTTCACTTGTTCAAAAGCTAGCATGCTAGAAAAAATTGTCAAAGTTGCGCGTACAGACGAGCAAGTAGAACTTGTCAAGTACAAAAAGAAAACATAGAAAACTTGTTCGTCTGTAACCGGCTTTATTCAGAGTGCCGGTTGGATTATAAGTCCATTGTCCTCAACATGTGTTATGCTCAGTTGAGCAAACTTAAAACCACATCTTAGGTCTGCGGTTTCAAACGTCGCGTTTCTTATATGCTGAACGCATTAGAAACGATAGATAATGAGGCATTTCAGCTGATTATCTAAGTGTTTTTAATGCGTTCGGCACTGTGAAAAGCGCGATGTTTGAAACAGACCTTGTGCTCTGTGCAAACATCAACAATTCTCGAGGCTTTATTATAGGATTGCCTACTGCAGCCCTACATTTTCCAACTAGTACACTTCGTAGAATCAATGTTATTGACTCAAATATTCAGTCGATTATAGGATTTGATCGACGCGCTCCCGCCGCTAAGAAAGCAGTAAACTGAACAGTATAATAATTAACGTTTGCAACCAGAAATTAGCACAGGATCGACCGTTCTTTAATAGTTTGTGTGATGTTTTATTTCAGATCATCATCATGCAGTTTGATTTTCATATAGTACATTTTATATACTTTATCGGGTTTTTCAGGTATATTATTTTGTCGGCACCAACCTCGTACCCAGGGCTTTTTGCTTCCGCGGTTGGATGGTCAGCGAAAAAGGTCCTGGCTTCGGCTGGTCTGTTTTGCAACCTGATTGGTCAATGATTTTGAATGTAATTATTCGATATATGCGGGAATAATTATTATTTTGGTGGAACGAGAGTGGAGTGACAAATTTATAATTAGTTCTTGAAGGACTAAAGCATTGAGCAAATAAGATTTTTGATATTTCGCTTGAGATACAGCATGAATTAGGGAAAGACAACACAAAACAATTTGGTCCAAATTAAGTCTTTGTATATTTTGTATAAGACGAGTATTTGCTTCGGTTCAACATATATTTCTCACATGCGTTGTTTACACATCGTTGATTTCAAGAAACGTACAGCGTTATAGTCAAATAAAGATTGTGACACAAATGTATTTTGCTCATATTGAACACGATTTATATAAACCAAACCTGGTTTTGTTGTTACTTATTAAGCGGTTATGTTTAAAAGTCATCAATATTACGGGCTATGTTGCTGAATGAAGCGTGAACAAAGTCAACTAATTTTGAACAACCGAAGAAAGTCAACTAATTTTGTTGCTTTCTCTTTGATTATATACGCAGCATTGAGTTTGTTTACTCCTGTAGTAATTCCAATGTGTATAATTATTCTATATACGTACTTATACGCATAAATTATCATAATTGAACACCCCAAATACTGGAGATTTTGAGATCATGTGACCGGCCGATGCCAGGGCCATTTTCGCTGATCAGAAGCAAAATGCCCTGGGTACGAGGTTGTGTCGGCACATCCCCAGTGAGCGTGAATTCTACACATGCATTCAATGTTAATTAGAGCAAAACGGCTTCGACGCAACTACCACTTCTTACCATAGGCGGATAACGGAACTGAAAAAATTAGAGGTCGGACAATAAATTGCCCGACATTGATGAACAATTGCCCGATAAATACAAGTTCGCCATAACATTCCCCAACGTTACATATCCCTTGATTAATTTGCCTGAAATGTCAAACAGAAACAGAAAACAGAATCTTGCCAATTTTTAAGTGGAATTGCCCGATTAAGTAGAATCCGTGCGACTATAGAAATATATTATGGGGGGTTGGGGGGAGCTGCATCCCCCCCAGCCCCTTTTCGTACGCCTATGCCTCTTACGAACTGTTTCTCGCTCAGAACCCTGCATATTTCATTAACTTTAAGACTTTATGGGCAGGCAATATGTACGTACAAAGGTCAATTTTAATTTTATTGTACCTTCGGACGGGATGTTTATGTATTAGAATGTAACTCACTAGCAAATATTTGCGCTGAAACGTTAAACGTTTGACATGTTTAACAAGCTATATAGTTGCCTCTCGAAGTTTCTAGTACTCTGAAATAACAAACCAATCAACCTTTAGCACTTTCATTTATTATTAATATGCTAGCATTAATTTTGTTGATAAAGTGTAAACAATGTACTGCCGTATATCCGTTGGTTTACGACATATATATTAATTAGTCCTGCAATTAATTAAGAAAAGATAAACCAATAATTATTGTCTTGGTCTGGATGATTTAAGGATTAACTATCTACAATATTATTCTTGGACTTATTTACTTGAAGCGAGATGAGCCTTACGTCACGTAATTCCTTACTTATAACGTCATGAAATAGTTGTTTTAATTTAAATTAAGCCTGGCGATCAGGTCGCTTTCTGGTGGCGGATTCGGATAAGATTCCCTATATATAATTACATTTCCGCAGACAGGCAGATAGTGAACGAAATCAGGTATAGAGTATCAGGTCTTCTCATATATTTGGTATTTGGGCATTACGGAGGCTGCACAGTAGCCAGAATAGGGAGCCTTGTGGGTTCGGGGAGTCGTCGCTCCGGACTCCTGTGCCAAAGGGCCAATCAAGCGGTTTACCCGCCTATCCGAAAATGTTGACAGAATTGGTTGAGATAAATCCCGAACTTGATATAGTCGTGTTCCGCGTTGATCGGATATGAGTCGTACGGTGGCAGCTAGAGGCGCCCTTATTAAGCCGTAATAGACTCGGTATGCCCGAGCTGTGTCTTCGTCGCGTATAATTCAGGGTCATATCAGGGAATGTTAAAGCTTGAGGAAGTATTATAAAAAGTACCACATGAAAATCAAATTACCATCTGAAACAAAAACATATTTAATTGATTATTGGACTAAACCCATCAGATTGTTAAAGATCGACTGCATCCTGTGGTTTTCAGGTTTTAATATAGCGTAGTATATATACTGTTTTACTGCTTTTGTAGCGCGATATGTACCTTTAAGGCTAATTTCCTCTCCGGAAAATAAGCAGCGGATCAGACTGGATCGCAACAGAACAAAATCGGCGCATGCGTCATCAGTACAAAAATGTTTGGTTCCGATTGATCCAGCGAAGTTGCTAGCCGGATAACAAAAGTTAATATTTTCAACTTGTATTGGTCCGGTCCCGCGGATTAAACCTGGCGACCAATCAAAATGCCGTATTATCTCACATAAATTAAAATAATTAATAAAACCTATATAAAATTTACAAAATGGAGGATGTGAGACTGGAACGAGCTCCAATTTTTCCTTTTCCGCGGATCATTCCACTTGTCCTTTTACTGGAAATCGCTTGTTGGATCGGAGCGGATCGGAGAAACCTCTGATCCGGTCCGTCCGCTACTTATTTTCCGGAGTGGAAATTAACTAGCCTTTAATCGATTGCCTGCATGGATCAAGATCGTTGTTTTCAGAAAGGGTACCAGTAAGAAAATGTAGGGTATTATATCCTCATAAAAGCCTTAACAATCGTTGCATGGTAGTTTCGCAGAGCGTAAGATGTGGTTTTTGTCGAATGAACATAACATATACTACCTGGAGTAATAAATTCAAAGTCTGCTGTTTTGTCCAATTCTGGATAAAATATACAACTCATTTTACCATTCCCGCCTGTAAACTCGACGATCGAGTCTTCAACGGTGTTGACAACCGCAAAAGACCAATCAACTAAAATACCCTCTTTTGGGAAAACCTTGACCACTCTGGGTTATGTTAGATGTATTTTAGCATTTGGACTTGGGCAATGGTCACAGCAATTTCCTTTCACCTCTGAAATCGTGGGTTCGATCCTTGATCCGGACTTAAGACGTGAGAAGAGTCAGTCAACGCTATACGGCAAGTCGTGGATTTTTCCGGGTTCTCCGGTTTAATTTCCTTCCACATGGAATAGTATTGACAGAGTGGGATGGAAGTGGCCCCTAATTGACCATTCCACAGTAGCCGTGTTCCGTAATCAGATTCCGTAATCAACCAATAAGGTAGTTGCCCGTGCACTACATTATACCGGAGAGCTTTCCGTAGCGGCGCAAAAAGGCATGTACGTATCCGATACGGAATGTACAACTTTCAGAAGCTGAGCGAAACAACATTTCTCCAGCTCCGTTGCAATAATAGACATCCCAAAATAGCGTTGCAGGGTTCCTTAAAGGTACGAATAGGTGATTTCCACGTCGTTACCTACGAAAAGCTATCCGGTATAGTGTAAATTACGTACCCTTAGACAGCTTTCCATTCGATCAAGTTAATTGAGCTGCTTCTTTCGGCTTAGCTATAGGAGCTCTATCATGCAAAATTCCGCAAAAATTAGTCAGTTTTAAGGGGACATGCGCGTTAGCAAATACAACAACAACAACAAATATCGAAGACCGAATACGTCGCTTGCTTAAGTTCACTAATACCTAATCCACTTATTTTGCCATTTTTCAACAGTTTATCATCAAATGTTTTCTTCAACAAGACAAGACTTTGTTCCAATTTTCCATCTAAACCTCTACGTAAGTTTATACGTATACAATGCGCGCTGTGATTAAAACGTATAGAATGAATGTTTGTGCATGATTATCATATTTTACTCACATGTCTATATAGTTACTATATTCAGGTTCTACTTTACAGATTGAAGCATAGTATGCAGGGTGTCCCAAAAAAAACCAAAACTATTGAAATAACCTATATATTAATGTTAGAATTTGAATGCCTCAGCACTCTGCTGAACACACATTAATTCACCTATTCACCAATAGCGACGCCATCTTGAATTTCGCGTTTAACGCAATGCATTATGGGTGATCCAGGGTAATTGAGCGTTTTTGAAGGGCTGCAAATCAAATATGTAGGCGAAAACACACGTTTTTATAGTTGAAAATAACAGACAATTTTTAGAAGAACTAGGAAAACACACAAAAGCTGGGAAAAATAAAAAAATCAGGATAAAATCTATAGTTTAAATCTTTGTTAGGCCTAAAAAGGGAAATAATTTCAACAAAGTGCGCATAAAATTGATTTACACTGCCTCATTGTCCTCAAGAAAGTGTTTATGAAAAAAAATTATCGTATTGTGTCTCAATACGACATTAAAGGTTTTTGAATTCGGATTTTTACCCTGGATAACCCATAATGCATCATGATTCAAGATGGCGTCGCTATTGGTGAATAAGTGAATTAAAATATTCACATAAGTAAATTTTATGCATAAAGAAACTGTTTAAGAAGCAGCTTTTAAATTCCGATGAGCTGAAAATCGTGCGCTTTACGGATATTTTAAATTGATTCTTAACAAGTCAATATTTATAATACATGCACCTGCATGTCAATATTTTACGCATCTTAATTTGCCTTCAGCTTATAGTGCTACGGCATTCAAATTATAACAAAACGTTAGTTAATTAACGTTATTTCAATAGTTTTGGGTATTTTGGGACACCCTATGTATACTTCAATAGTATCTAGGCATATATGCGAGTTATCTAAAGTTGTGAAATGAGTAGCAACGATGCTAACAAATTTAGCTATTTCCGTTAAGTTGTTCCCGAGCAAAGCGAAAAAGTCGAATACGAGCGCGAAAAGCTGCTGGGAATCGCTAAAAAATTAGAGAATTTTTGCTACTAACTTTTCGGTGAATGTGAAAGTCGGAATGACCTTGCATGCGGGTTTTGGGTGATGGATAAGGATGAGAACTGGGGTCAGGATTAGGTTAAGAGTTAAAAAAATCTTTACGTGCGCATGCCATGCTAAATTGGCCCTCTTTTGGGAACTGAAATTGATGTCATTCTAATTCTACGATTGAAAACAGCACTTCGAAAGAATCAAAATAGCCCCACATATAATAGCCCAAATAAATGGCCCTTTAATAATAGTCCAAATTGGCTCTATTTTAATGAGGCCAAAACAGCCCCATTAAAATGGGGCTGTCTCAGGGTCAAAATTTCGGCCCCATTTTTGGGGCCAATGCAAAATGGCCCTTCTGAAATTAGGCTACTGTGTATATACATAGACTGCGTATGCAAAAATCAGTTTTGCCTCCATTGTCTTACTAACCAGAATCGATTGCATTGTTTCGTACCTGAATATAATTTAACTGGAATGACTCCATCTCTGAAAAGTGTGAAAGATAAAATAGAATAATATTAATTTAATCGCATTAATTGTCGTGGCTAGCTATTTTTGGGTAAGTGTAAAACATTTCAGAGGTAAATTTCCATACCGTACTTGCTTTGTGTTGTTGCCTTATTTCATTCGTACCTGCGAAAGTTTTAGCCCATTCTTAACCCAATAAATAATATGTTTTATACAAGCTGGTATATTTACATGAAATTGCAGTGATTATTGTTGTTCATTTGGGACTGATTAATCGAGCGCATAGTGTTTTTATGTGTGTTTATAATGGTCGTTTACCTTCAGGCAACAAACGTGGTTTGACGAAAATATAACTAAAAAAGCTTCTGCCTATAAAGCAAAGGTATAACGAGGATATTATACACGGCGGGGCAAAGATATGACTTTTATCTTCGAGTGGTGAAAACAATATTTTACGAACGAGCGCAGCGAGTGAGTAAAATATTGTTTTTAACACGAGAAGATAAAAGTCATATCTTCAAGCCACCGTGTAATGTTCTGTTTATTATATAGTTCCAACCAAAAAATTGTGAAATTTCACGCTCAAAAGCAAATTGGAAAAAGTCACGTGATCGATATCTTCACTATAGTGAAGATATGGAAAATATCTCACCGTGTATATTTCAGTATCTCACTATCTACTGTATACAGCTATTTCAATTAAGGTTTTCCCCGAGGACAGCGGAAAAGTCAAATACGAGCGCGAAAGGCTGCTGGGGATTAGCGATTCCCAGCAAGCCTTTCGCGCTCGTATTCGACTTTTCCGCTTTGCTCGGGTCAACCTTAATTGAAATGGCTGTATGCAGTCGGCAAAACGAGTTTTTCAGTTTCCCCTACACAAAGTTGCGAAACGTTTTACCGTATTTATTTTACATTGACTTTAGCCTATTGAAAGCCAAAATACATAAAACTACATTCTAGATTATGAAAATCAATGATGATTTAGTTAAAAAAATTTAATATTTTCCTATATAGTGTTATTTTCACGTTACCACGGCAACTATTACTGTTTTTAATCATCAAAGACTTGTTGTTGGAATTTCTGTACTTCATAGTATAAATTTAATTTTATTGAGGATCAAAAGAACTCATGAGTCATGGTTACAGGAAACGTTATAATTTGACTGCCATGCGGGATAAGGCATCACCTGAAGTATTATTTTATATTTTTAGCAACAGTTCCTACAACTCAAGGCCAAGTGGTGACGTCGACTACTCCATATAATTTTAACATGGGTATCAACACTACCGTCACTATCCGTCTCAACACTCAATTCAACTCGCAGTACTCTAATAAATCAAGTTCCGTCTACAAATCCTTCGCAAACGACGTAACAACTGGTCTTGCATTTGCTTATAAGGATATAACGGGTTATGAAGGAGTTTTCGTAGTGGAATTAACATGTCAGCAAAAGGTTGCAGTCAAACATACAGTCGTCACCAGCTCAGCACCCAATGTTAAGGTTATGGAAGCACGCTTGATTTTGGCGAACATAACAAATGGATACCTCAAGGGAAAAGTGGTTGAAGCAAACAAAGCATGTGTAGATGCAAATGGTAATAGTGATTCTGGTGATGAACACACAGATAGTTCTAACTGGGTCTACATGATTGTATTTGTTTGCATTACTGCACTCCTTTTGCTTGCAATGGTATGTAGTATATATGTACATTTCGATTTATATTCTATGTTTTCCTTGTTTGACCTACAATTGTTTTAAGACGTGCAGTGAGAGATGCCTAGCGACCTATAATTTTGAAAATCTCTGATCCCTTCCCTCTCCATGCAGCCCCTGTTCAATATTGGGTAGCAGTTAAATCTCACTTTGGTTTGCTACTATATGTCTGGATTGAGTAAACAATATTGGTTGTGGGAGAGGGTGATGAAAATAATTTCTATATGTATCCACTGATGATTTAACACCACAAGTGTCCCAATAACCTTTGGAAATGATTTAATCCAAGAGCCGGGCTGGGTCGCTTTGCGGAGCCAAGTTGCTATTTGTTCGACCACAATCAGAAACTGCACAGAAAAATTGCCATGTCGCCAAACATTCATTATGGCCGTGTCGCTGAAAACGTAGTCACATAATTGCTAGAATATTGTGTTACATTCACCTGTATTTGAAACACTGTGTGTCTTATGCCTGAAGATTGAAGATATTAAACGAAAACGTGCCCAAGTCACATCCAAACTAACACATAAACTGATAAGTACACCTTGTATAGTAGAAGTAAATGAATTTATTTCTTAATTTAATTAAGATAATATTCTAGCAGTTATTTAGCAATTATTTGACGAATTGGATTCTAGCAGTTATATTTAGCAATTATTTGACAAATTGGGCTTTGTTCAGGTGTCGACCTTTCTGATATTGAAGTAGTGTCCACGCCTAAATGTTTTGGACAACTTTTGCTCTGAACATGAATTCTTACATCAGGTACACACGTATAACGTGATACTGCTGTAATACATTACAAAGTTGCCTGAGGTTTTATGGCCTATCGTGGACCGTTTTCATCCTGGGTATATGTATTTCCAAAACGTATACATTTAGTATCAGGAGAAGAATTGAATCGAGGAACCATGTTTATTTTTGGTTAGGGACGGACCATTAGAAAAGAGTGAAGGCGGGGGAAGGGCAATGAGAAAGAACAGAGTGAATCCATTACGTACCCCCAAAAATACCCGCCACATGTGGAATACGTGATATCTCAAAAAGGTTTACTCAGTAACATTTCAGTGAAACTATTACTCATCTTTCCTTGATTTAGGTTTTGTGTCATCAAAGCAAGTAACCAACGAGAATAATGCAACTGTCCCACTGGGGTATGAAGAAAATAAAATATAGACGACGAAGACCAAGTATATACATATATATATATATATATATATATATATATATATATATATATATATATATATATATATATATATATATATATATATATATATATATATATATAATTCTACGCAATTGTGAATATATTCTCTTTGCCTATTGCTTAGTCAAACAAGCAGGGACGCCGGAACGATGTTAAGGCAAGGGGGGCAGATTTTCGCGAAAGGGCACTTTTGAATTGATATATACTAAGAGATGTTTGCAAAACATCGGGAGTTGAACTTCACCTAATCATGTTTTCTATTTATATATTAGATGATAGGGGTGTGAGGGGGTTCTCCGCCAGACGATTGTGCTATTTTTGAAGCTCGATGACTGCATTTCTTGCGTTTTCTGAAGTAAATTCGTAAACGTATTGCACTAACATTTCTGACAATTCGCTATTTCGCCAAGGCACTCTTTTAAATTGAAAGGGCACCTTTGCCCCCCTTGCCCATCCAGGTAAAGGGCAACGGGGGCGGATGCCCCTCCTGCCCCCCCCCCAGTTCCAGCGTCCCTGCAAACAAGACAGTATACCTCAAATAATGAATATATATCGTGCTCAATGAAGATTTTAAACGTTTTACTGAGAATTTCAGCAAGGAACTTGAACTGTGAAACAGTGGGGAACTTTAATCGATTGTCCTTTTTTATTGATAAATCGAAGTTTAATTTATGTAAATATGTTACCTTATATTCGGCCTACAATATATATAATATAGTGCTAACCCCAGCTAATCTCAGCAAAATTTCATGCGGGTCAATCAGACGTCGCCAATCCCAAAATGTCGGTTTCATGACGTTTAGCTAAGAATGTAGTTTAGTTTGCTTTGCGTGCTTCGTAAATAGGATATTAACATTAAGCTTTCATCCACTTTTACATAAATGATGTAAGTTTTGCTGCTAGACATAAGGCTAATTTATCTGTAGCCTGCGTAGCAGGCGTTTAGTGCGGGCGGGAGTAGCGAGTACGAAACTAGAAAGTAACAAGACGCCTGCTACAGAGCCTTAAACTAAACGCAAAGGTACTTTTAAGGTATGCTTACCGATGAAGTTATGTTTACTATGCCATTATATTTGGCATGTTAAAGATTGGAAAAGCGGGAAACTACAGAGTAATCACTTCAGCTAGTGACTCAAAACATATGACGAGATAATAACCAGACTATTTTATTATAACATAAAAATAAAAGTAGACAGCAACAGATAATATCTCTAGTGCTTTAATCACAGTTTAGCCTATAATATCAGATGAACAGTGTAACTACATGTATCTCTAAATATAGTTTTTGCTTGGATTACAGAAAGTCCTGTCATACTCATCATTACTTACTCCCTGGGGCACCTGTGCTCAGGCGAGTATAGGTTTCGGCACGCATTTTTTGTGGATCGGCAATAGTGGATCTCCAATCGTCGTTGATAGCCACAAAATAGAATATTAATGAGCTGCCTAATTTTTACCCAAATTATATCCATAAGGCTCCTGCCAATTTTTACTCAAATTGTTTTTTACTAAAAAAAACTAAAAAAGTCAAAGCTGCTATTTATTTGAAGCAGAATGAATAGTTTACGTTCCTTTAAAACTGCTTTTTGTACAATGATTACCAATTCTTAAAAGAAGAAACATGGAAAAGACCCAAGAGTTTCAAGATTCCTCGGAGTAGCGTCCGACTTATCTGTTGTTGGAGAAATCGTGCAGTGTAAGGACAAAGTAATTCCACCTCTTAGCAGTCGAAGAAGATTTATCGAGAACTGAAGCACGCACGCTGAAACTCTTCAAGAAAAGATTTAGTATCCTGGAATTGCTAAACTCTGCAAAGAAGCTGTACAGAATTGTCAAAGCTGTCAAGTCACTCACGATCGCACCTATGACGAGCCTCTTCAATCAACACCATTTCCACCAGGTCCTTGGCATACAATCTCTGTGGATTTCAAGTGACCGTTCAAAGATGGAACCTACGCCCTGATCGGATATGATCTTTACAGCCGTTATCCTGTTGTAAGCTACTGCAGCTCTACAGCGTTCTCGTGTGTGAAACCGATCATTGATTCGTGGTTTTCAACATTTGGTACATTGAAGGAGCTGAAATCAGATCGAGGACCTCCATTCAACGGACATGAATTCAGTGCATACGCTCACGAGAGAGGATTCATTCACAAACCGATGAAACCTAGACATCCGAGAGGAAACTGTGAAACTGAGAAATTCATGCAGAACGTGGGAGATGGGGAGAATTGCAACACAAGAAAGGAAGAAATATCACTGTCTCATTGAAGGAATGTTAAATGCTTACCGTGCCTAACCGCATCCTGCTACAGGGAAAAGTCCATTCGAGCTCATGTTTGGGAGAAAAATGCGACTTGGAGTATTGCCAGATAACTCAGAAACACCTTAATGTGATAGCCATCCTGAAGTCAGACAAAATGATGCCTAAATGGTACCACGACAAGCGCAGAAACGTGAGAATGTCAGGAATTGCTGTTGGAGACAGGATTATCTTGAAAAACAAACGGACAGATCCACTTAGCCCGATTCCTGGTAAAGTGATCAAGACACGTGGAAACGCCGTGACAGCCCGATTTGATGACGGGAAAGTTTTTATGCGAGATAAGTCACATCAGTTCAAGATTTTACGAGAGAGATCTTGCGTCGAGAGACGAGAAAGAGTGCGATGAGAAGTTTAAAGACAACATACTCAACCGGAGCAGAATCGATCAGAGTACGCGAGACGTCCTGCCGGACAACATTAATCGTGACGAAACAGATGAGTTGATGAATTCATACAAGAGCAGCACTAACGATCGGAGACAACCGATTTATGTGACGCGCCGAGGTCGCGAGGTTTATCCGCCGGATCGATTCCAAAGTTGAGGAAAAATGGGATGTTGTGAGAATATTATGAATGTATAATATTAAGAATTCATTAAGAACTCATTAAGAACTCATTAAGAACTCATTGAGTTCGAATTTACTATATTATTCAGCTGGTTATGCAGCGTATTGTTGGTTACCTCCAGCATATTGTTATGTTAATTAATAATTTAGTAAAAATAACATTAAAAAATAAGACGTTATCTAGACTGGTATATATCACTGTATGTAGTCGGTAGAGTACGTGTCAAAGTATAATTTTGAAACAGATATTTTGAGTTTATAACAAACCCTGATATGTAAACATGAAAGTATAATTTCAAACTATATTTTAAAAGACTATAGAATTTCTACTTGAGTTATTGAAATGTTTATGTGGCTAACAAAATAAGACCACTATTTGTTACATGCACCTACAGTACCATCGGCCATGGGGGTACAACCCAGCGATACCTGCATGCTTCATCCTCTCTCGGCCGCCATGGCTACTCTTTCTAAAGATCCCTACTTTCAGGGAAGAAGCATAACGCAAGGCTTTATTACAATATCAATCCATCGTTCCAAGAAGCATCTTTAACCCAGGTACTGGGGAAATTTTAGTTCTATTTTTTGGGCCCGTTGTACAAAGCACGATGATCCAGACAGGAGTTCTGATGATAGTAGTATTTAATATAGCGTACATATAGCGGCAAAGGTAATTAGTATCTAGGGGAGATGACGTCATGATTTGTGTGCACGTGGGGTGCGCACGGGGGTGTGCACTAAGAGAATAATGAACAAAAAGTTGTTTTAATTATTATTTTTGGAAATAAAATGTTTTTAAACATATTTATGAGAAATAACTGTTCGAGAAATGTTTAATGATTTTCGTTCCAGTAACTAAGATAGCCTAAAATGGCTTGGTATTCAGAGAAACTTTAATTAAGCTATAGATCTTTAGAAATTCAAGAGTTGATTTATGATTTCTTGTTAAGTTTTCAAAATGTTTTGTTGCATGTTCGTGGTAACTCATCTTCATTACATGGATAGCTTCAGTGAAAAGTTTCCAGACTACTTAAATTGACGTTCAATTACTTTACTTGTTTTATTGCTTTTATTGCATTTTATTGACCAAGCATTATCCATCGCTCTCTTCACATCATGAGAGATTCGTGTCTTCTTTAACTTGGGTGATTAACTACGCAGCCCCGGCACTTTTCTTTTCGGAGTTTATTTACTTGACAGGCGACAGCTTCCGAGAATATTGCATTTATTAGATTGCATAAGTTTTTTACCTCCCAAGGCACAACTTCGTCTACGTTTAGGCTGTTTGCCCAGAATGTTTGTTTGTTGAAGGTATTAATTTTAGGGGGTGAATGTATTCATTTTAGGGGATGAAGGTAATCATTTTAGGGGGTGTATGCACGGTGTGCGTACGGATGGGCGAGCATGAATGATGTTATGCCTACCTATGATTGGTTTAGGGACGCCATATTGATTGCATTAACTCGCAGAGGCTTCCTTTATTTAGCTCTTCCCGTCACTCCTTGCGCGCTCACTTTTCCTCACTAGAAACTTCATGTAAGCCTCTGCGGAGGAGAGAGGTGTAAATGAACTCATTTCAATCACTCAAAGGCGTCAAAATGATAAATAATCATTTTCAATCTACCAGTATTATAGCAATTCCTCGTTTCCACGTTATACCTTTACTAGAAAAGTTACAATAAAGCTAAATCTATATAGGAAATAACGTTATTTAGTTATAAGTTTGTAAAGGAAATCTAACAGTCAATCGCTTTCGATACTGAAACCTTGACCCACGTTGACCTTGTTAACGTTATTATTATTAGGCATGGCAAAATTACTGGATGCTGATTGGTTGAGAGGAGTACAATTATTTCATTAATTGTACTGCAGTACAATTAATGATTTTCCCAAAACAAACAAAATGGCCCGAAAGGTATTTTAAACACAAACGTGAACTGAAATTGCTCTTGAGGAACTAGATGAAAATACGAACAAAAGTAATCATGCGATGTTGCTCGTACAATTAGGGATTAATAGTACTCGTGATGTTTGGAAATTTGCCAAATTGGACTCGCTCCGGCGGCTCGTCCAATTTTGGCAAAATTTCCAAACATCACTCGTACTATTAATTCCTAATTGTACTCGCCATCGCATGATTACCTATACTTATTACCGTCGTTTGCAACTAACTATTGCTGTCGATGCAATGGAAGTGTTGATAAAATATTGTATGAATTCATTTCCTCAAGTTGATCAATTCATACGAATTCAAATTTCTTTTTACTTCCTGTGCGTTTCCTATTGGTCAATCGGTTCTGAAACGAAATCTAATTGGCTCATCTAAAAGTAACAGGAAGTTGATCAATTTTCTATCAAATGAATTGATCAACTTCAGGAAAGGAATTGGTGCAATATTTTATCAACACTTCCATTGCATCGACAGTAACAGTCGCTTATAAAAACATTGCCTATTCGCGTGTTTCTGCTGGGGTCTACACCGTTGGCTAATTCAAATGAGAATCTTAAGTTTTCTTATTTTGACATAATAGCTATTTTTCAATAAATATATTAATATTAAACTTATCGAATCACTATTTTAAGTTTCATGCCAGTTGTACCAAAGGTTATAAGCGCTATAGTGCATCATAAGTTTCAGATGGCATGCAACATGTACGCACTGCGTACCTATTTTTTTGAGAAGCGAACGTTTTTGCGAAGCAAACGTTTGTGCGACGTATCATTGTAATGTCGAAGAGTTAATGAAATACAGTTATTCCAGAACAACCGTCGTAGGCATGATACCCCGGAAAATATTTATTTATTTTAATGTCTGAGAAACGCTATTTCATGCATTTTAGACACGTTTTATGATAATCTGAAAGCTAGAGATTCGGTATATTTTATGTCTTTGGAAGAATTGCAAATTAAAGTGGAAAGTGAAAGCAACTGCCTTCTTTGCACATGATTTTCGTGTTACCATGGAAACCACTATTGCTTCCAGGCTGAAAAGTATACGATATATAGGGCAGAAAGACTTCTTACGCATATTCCAGATTTTCAATCTGCGAGGTCAGTTGTTACAAAAAGTCATAAAACCTCATTATGCTGTATAGTTAGTGCTGTATAGCTAACTCTGCTAAGTAAAGGCTTTGGAATTATAGTAGTTCTGCTAGTAAAGGGCGAGGGATTGGTATTTGTGGCATTCATGTATTTCCAGTTGCTGCCGAGCAGCAAGGCAGCCACTATTCTTCACGTGCTATGGTTTGTCCAGACCCCAGCATATAAACAACAAAGTTTCGGCTTGTAAATTAAAATTGAGGCTAAATGTGTCTCAAAAACTTTTTCCAAGTTTGCTGTGACAGTGACACGACCATGGAAACACAAATATACGTTGTTCATTGGCCTTTCAGTACAAAAAAGTGTTGATCTAATCTCGCTTTGTATGTGGTTTGATCGCGAAAGCAAGAGCGCACGCACCTGCATGCCGTTATTGAAGCAACACTGAATTTGTCAACGCCGAAACGCCTCTAAACTTTTCATTTCTACTCTATGTAATGATTTAGAAATATATTAATACCAGTAAATGATGAGCAACTATATTTATTCTAGTAGAATTGTATTTATTTTACAGTGTGCATGTAGAATTTCACACTGTATACATCAGTCATATATTTACAGAATCATATAATCAACTAAATACTAGTAATTCACACCGCTATTATTACAGTGGGAGTTGCTATACAGCCGGAGTGACCATAATGGTGTAAATCATTGCAGCTCTGCAGACAGATTTAGTGTAAATGTCAATTTTAACAGGAGGCTACGAACATTCACAGCACCCATGATTCCTAAATTGCTTTACTAATCTCTTTAATGACAAACGAAAACCTTCACTTCTGTAACAATAAATAATAGGATCTATACAACAGCGGTTACAAGAGTTAAACTAAAAGTACGATAAAACCGAATTGGATCCTCGAATTGAATTTGTTTAGAACTAAAGATGCGATTGTCACTGGCAACCAACATGCCGCAAAACTTCCAGAGAATCATAAACAACGAAGTTAATGCTCTGAACTCATCAGTAGTCGCCTGTGTTTGACCTGTAATTGCAGCATCTAGATCTGTTGGACTAAATTTTTACTATGTTTCCTTCCTAAATTGTACATGTACACATACATTACAATAGATGATGTTATATAGAAAACCATGATAGATCGCGTAATTGGAAAATGTTTTTTTCCATTAATGAACATGAAAACAAAACCACCAAGAATGGCGACAAACCATATAACCTCCGATCATGGTTACAGTTCGTTTGAATGTCATAATTTTTGGATACTTCAAAGGTCTTAATGTGGATACAAGGCGGTTCAGAGTCAAAAGGAAAATACTTCCAGTGGTGGCTGCAATAACAAAATTTGTCACTGTAATAAAGATGTTGAAAATAGAGTGATAGATATTATAAATGAAAAGCGGAGTTGTCACTGCGCATAACAGCAAATCCGCACAGGCAAGGCTCAAGACGAACAGATTCACAGGCGCGTCGGGAAATCCGTCAGTGGGAGAAATTGACAGAATCAGGACGAGATTCTGTTGAAATCCGGCGAACCCAAAGAGTACGAGAAAAACAATCAGACCTGCAGTTTCTGCTTCGGTTAGGTATGCGTTTAATGTGGAAGACATTTCATCCGACTCGAGAGGTTGGCTGAAATTTGAAATGTTTGTCAAGTTCATTTTGCTATCTCTTTTCCTTGATTTCCTCTGATTAACAATGCAGTGATACTTTCCACTCATTCCACGGCTTAATTAATGTGCACACAGTCTGTATGACTTGATTCTAAGCAGTAGATCTTTTGAACTGCTGACCATGCTGTATCCAGTTGCTCAATACTTTCTTCCAACCTTCGGTCTTGTACGTGCAGTTGTACCTTAATTCATGTACCTTTAAAAAGTTTAACACATGCAAGCTTCACTAAAGTCGTTGCTAAGTCAATGGGCATTGTACTCTGTAGGCAGATGTGTGCAGATTATCAATTGTCCAATTTCTTAATGAGTGGGGCACTGTGGCGGATACACCTGCAACGAATTAAATTGAATTGTGCACATTACAACGAATATTTAACCTTTTCCTGAATGATAGATATTAACAATTCAAATCTGAGCCAACATGTCATAGATCTTGGCATATATAATTTTAATGCATCAATGATAAACGAATGGCGTAACTAAAAATTACAAGTATATGTAGTTCGAATCTTCTATAATACTACCCCTATACGTATTTACTGGCGATTTTCAACGGCGCTTTTAGCATAGGCGCGGGACATAATAGTCTCCACGAGATTAAGACTGACGTGAGATTTATATATACAGATGCTGTGTGGACGGCGATTGTTTTGATTCCTACAACCAATTACTATTTCCTTTTCATTTTGTCCATTTTTGCACGGAACGGATGTAAAGAGTATTCTTTACGACAAAAAACAACAATACATGCAATTTCTGCAATTGTTCATTCCAACTCCAAGCACGAACAGCAAGTTGGGTATAGTAAAGTTTTATATATTTAGCTGTTTAGTTTAGTTTAGGTAGCCCCATAACTCCTTTTCGGTTTGGCAATTCCCAGGGTATACATGATTTATAATACATTCCACTCTATAAAATCTCTTATTCCCATTATACCTATGAATATTGTAACTACATTCGACTATATTGCTTGTGACAACCTCGCCTAAATGAAATAGTATACTGGCTAGATAGCATTTAAAAACTTTCTTAAAAATAGGAGCAAATGTTGCATGTCTGTTAATATAGGCAGCAACAGTTCGATGGTGAACCCACACGTCTTCATATAAATATAATCGAAGTGACTATATGACCGGCAGCCGGTCACGGTTTATCAAACACTCAATATGGCCGGTAGTATATGACTATAATTAAAGTTGAATTTTAATATAAGATAAACCGATCTCATGCCCAAACCCTTCTCTAACCCTAACCCTAACCTTTTGAGATTTAGAAAATGCGGAAAAAAAATTTAAGAAAAAAAGTCAGACAAAACAGCTTGCCGTTAGCGTATTCGGCAAAAGCGCTGCGCAGGGAAAGTGAAACGCAGTCCGGGTCGGGTTGTGTCTGACTTTTTTTCAAAAAAATTTTTTCCACCTTTTCTAAATCTCAAAAGGTTAGGGTTAGAGGAGGGTTTGGGCATGGGATCGGTTTATCTCACATGCAGTTTACTGGCCAGAAGGCGGAGCAGCCAGCCAGAACAGCGTGTTTATTGGCCAGAAAATAGGATTGACTGGCTAGGAAAATGGCGGCCAACATGCGTAATGCGACATGCGCGAGGACAAAACTTCAAAGCTTCCGACGTAAGTGGCCCTTCTGTATGGATCTTTAAGGTTCGGTCACACGGAGCGACAAGTCGCAGGGGCATGTTGCATGGAAATGTCGCCCGAAACGAGTCACACGAAGCGACAATGCTAGGCGAAAACAAGTCGCACAAGCGCTTACAGGCGCGTGGTCACACGAGGCGACAATTCATGCGACAAGTCAAATAACTCCCATGAGGACTTATATTGAAATTGAGCGTGCAAGTAGTCATGGGAATGATATTTTGTGATTGGTCGGACTAATTATTTCCCTGCAACTTGTGAACAGACTAGCTCACACGATGCAACAAGTCGCGGCAACGGTTTTTGTCCCTGCGACACGTCGCATGAAATCAAATCAATTTGATTTCATGCGACATGTCGCGGGGACAATTTTTTGTCCCCGCGACAACGCTTACACATGTGACACACGATGAAATTCGACCCCGCGACATGTCCCTGCAACATGCCCCTGCGAGTTGTCGCTCCGTGTGACCGAACCTTTATTCTGTGCCGGCATCATATTGATGTTCAATTAAATATTTAATAGACATGAAAAATCAACGGTAACCTTATTAACGAACATCCCAATATAATTTATTATTAACAAAAAACGCGCCTTTTCATTAGTTAACATGCACAACTCAACGAACGTATATAGTTTCATTAAACAAACGATTGCCAAACAAGTTCAGAACATGAATGATATTAAATACAGTCATATTCCTTCGTCTATGGCTATGCCAAACAAGCTTAGTCTTAGAACATGCATGATATTAAATACAACTATATTCCTTCGTTCTTTATACTTAGAAACCTTATCATAATAATTACAACCGTACAAACATAACCATTCGTACTGGTTGTTGAAAATATTTCTGGCTTTTGACTATTTATGATTATATTTTGAGTATTTCATTTTCAGTTCATATTTGCTATACGAATTAATTGAGAATTGTTAGTGAAAAAGGACTTAAAATTTAATGATGGCGGGATGGATTTTATCTTTCTTTTTTTTTGGGAGATTTTCGGCTTATTTGGCTATCGTATTTTTTAGCTAAGTGCAAACACGACTGGCATAACGTGATTTAATGATGTGAGGAGGGTCGAAAACTAGGGGGTTAGGAGGGCCCTTAATGGCCACTAGCTTGAGCCAGGCAGCGCGCAAAGATTAGGTGTAAGTGTATAACTATATCATCGGTACATACAGTATATATGTAGAACTATATCATCGGTACATAGTGACACACAAGCAGCGTCCTATCAATTGGTCCAAAATGTATCATAATGTCACTTACTTAAATAAAGTAAAGCCTGGCGCACACGACGCGATTTTAGTCGGCCGATTAAAGTGAGTTTACCTGCCGACGAGAACCGGCTTATAGGCTATCAAGACCCGATCATTTGGCCTGCAAAGTAGGAACATGTGATCACAGCATAAATTCTCATTGGTTGAGATAACCAGTACAAATCGGAACACGCCGCATACGGAACAAATCGGGCGATAAAAAATAGAACAATATCAAAACAGTTTAATCTTGTCCGACTAAAATCGCATCGTGTTATAGATCTCATTGATCTCATATTATCAAAAACAGTATGTTTTCCGTACAGTGTTTTTTTAAGCCCAGTACTGGCATGTGTAAATGAGCCCGGGTGTTTAGTTGCGTATGCTGAATAAAATATGAAACATTCCCGAGAGAGCTACTCCTCAGTACTTTTAGATTCTCCATTATTGTCTTTGTTTTCTTCTGACTCAGCATCGCGTGTTCGTCTGCTCTTCTTTTTCTTCGGTAGATCGGTATCTTCAACTCCCTCTTCTTGGCTTTCTTCATTTCGACTGTGACGTTTTCTGTCGAGAAATTAAAGAAGAGAGAAATATTAAATAAGACGGATTTCGTGTGGAACTAAGCCAGTAAGCAGCACCTTGTAAGTTCACCAAAATAACAGAAAGAACGTCAAGGGTCATAATTGAACTTGGTCGAGCTCAAACTTTAAGGCACTGCAATTGACCATTTGCGTAATAGACTAAATTTTGATCTAGACAAAAATTTTATCACAGCTTGAAAGAGCATCACAAAATTAGTAATATTCTAAAGTTTCGTTGCGAAATGTTGTAAAATGCGGATAATATAGCCTTGCGAAGTTTGCAATTTTCAGTCATTATAGATTACAAACGGGAAATTGACTGTGATGAAATTTTTGTCTAGACTTGTTTAGATCAAAATTTAGTCTATTACGCAAATGGTCAATTGTCTTTGTAAATTTATCTGGTGTATATTTTATATGCTAAATAAATATCTGCTCCATTCTGTTTCATTCTACAACAAATCTGTAGCTTACTTGTCCTTGTCGCGACGATCACGTGACCTGTCTCGTTCTTTGCGACTTGACCTTTCTCGATCCTGGAAATAAACGTACAATGCTTTAGCTGCCTTCTTTCATACGATCTTAATCTAATCACTACAAAATCACCCCTTCTCACATGCAGTGCAGTGGCTGGCATTTCGTGAAGCATGCATTACGGTGCGTACTTTGTAAATTACTTTTGGCAAAGTGGGTTTGTGTAAACAGGCTTAGAGTAATTCTTAATGCCTTGGCGGACACTTTGTGGAATATTTGGGAGGGAGCGAATTTAGATTGCCAATATACTCTAAAGACGGTTTTCCAGTCCTCGCACGAAGCTCCTCGCAGCTCGCTGCGAGTGCTTGCATCTAATTAAAATTAACCGTTTTGCATTGTGATTGCATGAAAGTGCTCATGCATGCACTCGCAGCGAGCTGCGAGGAGCTTCGTGCGAGGACTGGAAAACCGCCTTAAGCCTCTTTTATTTGCTACAATTTTTAGCTTTTAGATGTAACTAAGTGATAATTTGCAAAGTTAAAACTATATCAAGCATAGGCGGATTTTCTGGGGGGTGCTACCCCCTCAATATTAGCTATAACCCCTCCCAAACAAAATGTTCACCCCTCCAAAAACATTTTCAACCCCCCCCCCCTCCAATATTCGGCATAATAAATAAATAATTAAATAGTCCACTCCAACGTGCAGAGTGTTGATGATACAAAATAAACGTAGGAGTACATTCGAACAGAAAAAGACAGTGCAACACTCTGAAACTAATCGCTCCTCGCTTGTATTCACTGGTTTATTGGAGCAATTGTAAAGTTTTGAAACTCTATTATCTTCCCTGAATAGAGTTTGCAGTGTCTTGTCATGCGAATAGCTTGCACGCAAGAAATGTTTGGAATTTTTACGAACACTATTTTTAGTTTTTAATTCTTTTAGGAAATAGACTTGCCTAGATATCTTTACGCCCCAAATATTATTTACAATCGGAGTTGCATCATAAATTGTACTCGGATTCAAACAACACAATGTCAATGACTTTATAAAAGTAAAAGCATATTGTCCTATTGGGCTTACACTTTTATAGGTTCATTTAACTCTCTCAAGTCTTAACAGACAATCGGGCATGCCAAATCCATTGATATGACAAATTGACAACTTCAAAAAACTTTTTTTCGAAGCTAGAAATCATGATTTTTTTCAAACGTTTCCTGGGATACTTTGTTTTCTGCTCTCTAGACTCCCCCTCGCGGCTCTAGTGCTCCTCCACCCCTAGAATATAGACCTTACTGGGGTTTGGTGACACTTTGTGTTGCTTCAGTCACCTGCTCACGGCTCACCCCCCTAAAAATTCTGGCACCACCCCAGTAATAAATATGAAAATCCGTCTATGATATCAAGCATTCATCAGCTGCGAAAAAACTTAATCACTTCTCAGTTACTTAGCTAATTTAGGAACTAATTAACAATCCGGGGGGAGTTCCCCCTCTCACAATCCTGTAAGGGTCGAGTATACATGATCTCGCTTTACCGGTACAATTATGATATATTGAAATAAGTCACAATGCACGATTCGGCAAATCTACGTTATTTTTCTTGTGATAGCCAGGGACCGGTTGTATAAAACTCTTAATCACTTTTTAATCACTATTTTGTAGTTAAATAGTGATTAACTCTTAAATAGGCGCTGCTTATTGGATGACGTTTCCACTTAACTATAGTTAACTTTAATCACTTTTTTATACAACAAGCCCCAGATAATAGATTATAGCACAATTATAAACGAAAGGTCGTTCAAGGAGCAACAATAATCTACTTGAACTAGGCGAGACCTACTCGGCAACAATTGAGTTCTTTTAATTAAAGGCAATATAAATTAAGTTTATTTGAAAGAACATTTAAAATTATATATAAACTTCCTGTATAACTATTCCGTATCTTGCTTGGTTTTCGAAATAAATCGACTTTTTTGATCAAAATTAAAGTGGCGTGCATTCCGCCAAACCACATGTCATTATCAATATGAAATTCGATTTTCCGAAGTCTAAAAGTATTCACTCCAATTAACTCACAACATTTTAAGAACTTTTTGAAGAAATTTAGTCCCACATGAAGACGTTTTAACAAGTTTACACTGCTTGTGACGTCATCAAAAAAACAAAAATTCAGTTAATTAGGTCAATTATAATACCAAGATGGAGGATTGCACACTGTTTTTGGTCAAAATATTTCGAAAACCAAGCAAGCTACGAAAAAGTTGTAAAAAAATTCTTTCAAATGAGACGTTAATTTTTATTACCATATCCCTTTAACCGGCGTTGGAGCTAAGCCTGGTAAATTATTTTAATACCTCCCGCCTTCCATCCTGTCCCAGCTAGCCGGGATTATGTAAACAGCCCTAATAGTGACTTACATCTCTCCTAGATTTATCTTTGTCTTTATCACGATGTCTTCGTTCTTTATCGCGATCTCTGTCACGATCCCTGTCACGATCTCGGTCGCGATCACGGTCACGTTTACGATCTCTGAAATACGTACGCGATAGTTAGCAATCAAGCCCCAAATAGACCTTTCCCCCTTTGAGTGAAATTTTGATCTAGACAAGTTTGGACAAAAATTTCATCCCAGCTTGAAAGAGTATCACAAAATTAGTAAAGGCCCGTTTACACGGGCGATGTGAAGGAGTGGATGAGTTATAAATGTTCCAGGTTATGAAATTTTATAACAACGTCATTAAGTAATCTACTCCTTCATATTCTCCAAAAGGAGAAAATCGCAACTAAAATCGCAGCCACAATCGTCCGTGTAAACGGGCCTTAATATTTCGTTGCAAAATGTTGTAAAATGCGGATAATATAGCCTTGCGAAGTTTGCCGTTTTTCAGTCATTTTGTATTACAAATGGGAAATTGATAATCAGTTTGATCATCTGATTATCAATTTCCCGTTTGTAATGAAAAATGACTGAAAAACGGAAAACTTCGCAAGGCTATATTATCCGCATTTTACAACATTTCGTAACGAAACTTCGGAATATTACTAATTTTGTGATGCTCTTTCAAGCTGTGATGAAATTTTTGTCCAGGCATATCTAGATCAAAATTTCACTCATAAGGGGAAAGGTCTATTGCACGAAAACTAAATAAAACTAAACTAAACAACCCAACTAAACTAAATGATACTAAAATTTACAAAAATACGTAAAACTAATTAACAATTATTCACCGAAGTGGAGGTGAATGGTGCAAGGATATTCACCGAAACGCGAACATTAGCATATACCACAACAAAACAAAACTGAACAAAAAACAGTGAAAATATTTTAAAAACAATATGTACTTACCTATCGCGCCGTTCTGGATCTCGATCTCGGTGTCGGTCTCTGTCGCGTCTTTTTCGCGAACGGCCGGCATCTTCACTACCATCACTTTCTTCATCAGTGCGTTTATCATCTTCACCCTCTCCATCACGTTGCTCACGTGGGTCGCGTTGGTCACGCGAATCTCGCTGGTCACGAGGATCACGTTGGTCACGCGGATCACGTGGTCCACCGTGTTGTGGAGGAAAGCCGCGAGCCATCATAGGATCGAAAGGCATGCCGGGAGGTAGACCAACTGTAATATTCACAAGAATAATGAAAATTTTAAATATAGCGCTTCGTATAGGGTTATGTTTTTCAAAAATTGACAGGGGAAAACGAATCTCCATGAGTCCGTTTCGGGCAGCCTAGACCTAGGCCTTCTATTTTTATTTATATTTTTTTAATATTCAGCGCTTTTTCACATGAAAAGACTGGGACTAGGTAATTTGGGGGCGGGGCGGAGGAAGGACACAAGCCTGACGCAAGCGAAAATATAGAAGGCCTAGTGGATTTCCCAACAACAGGGCCAAAACTGCCCTGAAACTGCCCTGATTGCGAAATGCCCAATTGTTGCGTTCTCAAACAGAATTATTTGCGACTTAACAGCGAATTTAAACCGATACAGGTAAAATAAACTCATTTATAGTATAAACTTGCTATTTTTATTTGTATACACGTCTAGAAAATCGGGTTTTTTATCATAAAGTTTGAAACAACACTATTTATATATGTTGACAAGGTGTAGCGAAACGGCACAAAATAATAATTCTTTTATTCGCAAGACAATCTACTGTTTTGCTTTGAATACTATATTTGCGAATTGGGAATGAGGAATTTGAAATTAGTGTTCAAATATTACAGATATACCATTTGTATAAACAATGTACGTTTTTATATACAGTACTGTACGGGCTAATAATATATGTATCCGTTTTATTTTGTATATTTTACAAACACAAGACCGCTTCTTGCCAAAATTGAGAAAATATATATTAATGTACTTGTGTATAAGACAAAATTTCATGAAAGATTCTACTTTTGGTATATATTTTGACTCATTTTGTTCTTTCGCTACACCTTGTCAACATATTAAATAATAGTGTTCCTTCGAACTTTATGATAAAAAACCGATTTTCTAGACGTGTATACAAATAAAAATAGTAAGTTTATACTATAAATGAGTTTATTTTACCTGTATCGGTTTAAATTCGCCGTTAAGTTGCAAATAATTCTGTTTGAGAACGCAATAATTTGGCATTTCGCAACCAGGGCAGTTTCAGGGCAGTTTTGGCCTTGTTGTTGGGAAATCAACTAGGCCTTCTAGGCTTGGTTCCTCCGCCCCGCCCCCAAATCACCTAGTCCCAGTCTTTTGATGTGAAAAACCGCTGAATACTAAAAAATATAAATAAGACTAGAAGGTCTAGGTCTAGGCTGCGTTTCGGGCTAGCTCTGGTTAAAGTGGCTTATTCCTGCAGTGACTTCAAGATTTGTGTAAAGTATTAGAAAATACATTTCCTTCAAATTGCGGTGCCTAAACAAGTTAGGCGTCGCTTTATATTGGGTTTGTTCAGAATCATAAGCCTTGAGTTTCATTCATGAAAGTATGTCTTCGCACCGGTGGTGCACCTGGCTAAGCCGCCAACGTACTATTTTGCGCATGCTCCAGGGCACCGCACTGTAGTACTATATCTGGTATTGCACTCTCGTTCGAAAATTCCATCAACAAATACCCATCCATTAATTAAGCTCCATATTCAGTTATATCGAACGAGATGCCTAAAGAGTCCATATTATTCCACTCTCTTATATACTATACTCTCGACTATGTTCACACTATAAAATATGCAGATGGCGATATAAAATGAACAGGCATAGTCTGAACAAGCAAATATACACCAAAACATACCTGGAAACATTCCGTTTTCATCCATCATAGGAACTTGAAGCCTGCAAATTTAAAGGGAGAGAAAATTCTTGTGGTCAGCAGAAAGAAAATAGAAAAATATCAACACAAATCGAAAGAAATAATACCGCAGTCGGTAGACACAGATGAAGTTTGAAACCTCTTGAGCAGGTAGCTCAACAGTGAACCCGTCGAACCCAACTTGGTCAAATATTAACCCATTCCAACTCCTTAAAAGGGTATGAATTTGGACACAATTTCAGCACAAGTTTGCTTCCGTAAATGTTGTTTATTATGAACTGTTGATTCCTTAGAGATTATATATATTCTCCAGTGGTCGAAGAAAATAAAATCTTTTTCCACCCCTGTCAGATTCATTGACTAGATTCATAATATTTATTTATTTTGCACAGCCTGGACTGGAGTAGTAATGTACACTGAATAGATCTAGTATGTAGTTTAAAATTATTCATCTATTAGTGTCCACACTCCACAGAAATCCTCTCATTCATCACCAGAAGAAGTTCCAACGGACCACTTCATGCTATTCAAGTTGTTTCCACATAACATGCAATGCAAATGCAATACTGAACACTTCGAGTATAAAAACTAAAACGAAAGTGAATTACCTTTCATCCATTGGGAAATCGTGTGGCATTATAGGAATTTTGCCTGGATGCATGGGAAATCCTCGACCACGACCTAGTATTAAAATAAAAACAATAACGTTTCATTTCTAATCATCTGAAAATATTAATGCATCATCTTCAACCGTTCGTTGGGGATTGAACTGGCATGCCACCACTAAAACACCCCCCCCCCCCCCCCCTCCATGCACAATGCTTTGAAAGCAAAATTATTTTAACGAGCAAACAGTATCAAACTATAGACGAATTTAAAATAATTAATTGGCAAACAGAAGTTTTTTTATGAAAATTTCGAAACGTTTTACGAAGAGTCTAAAGCTGGAGTTACACGAGTGCAACAAAATCTGATTTCAACGCATGTTAAGTAGAAATGTCGACACATGTTGCCTTGTGATTTGTAATTTATGTGTGAACATTTTCACTTAACATGCGTCAGATTTTGTTGCAAGTTGCAGCAATTTTGTTGCTCGTGTAACTCCACCTTACGGCTGGATATATCATAAAGTCGAACTTTATAGAATGTATAACATACCTACAGTATACAATATATATTTCGGAAACTGGCAATGTTACCGTATTATTAAAATGTCTGTACTTTCTTCGCTTTTTTCCCAACGCAAACATGCAAATCTTCGGCCGATTACTGAGTTATCCATTAGCAAGGTGGAAAAAAAGTGGAAAAAGAAATAAAATTGGGCGCTCGTATTTCCAAGAAAAAACAAACTGATCGTGAAACCATGACTACCATGCACATGACGTTAGCCAGCGCTCAGTTGTCGGTTGGCTAATTACAGTAGAACTACTTCATGTTGAAATATTGTTTGGTAAATATTTAGTTAGAAAGGCGAGGGGTTGCTGTACATGCATGCATTGATTTCAAGTTGGGGCGTAGCACACGATATTAAAAACTGTGCCTTATCAACTGGCAAAATTCGATCGCGTAAATGAATTAAAACACAAAAGTGAACCTTACCCATATCAAACGGCGGTCCCATCATCCCCTCATGAGGCATCATCATCTCACGGTGAAATCCAGGAGGCTGCATGCGTGGCATCCCGTGTGGAAAACCGTGGGGTGGACGATTTGCTAAATCAAATAAATGTCGTCATGAAGATACTATACTGCATGCATTATGAAAAATAGATATACTGTAAAGACGCTGTCTAAATAATGTTACAAACACATTAACGCAAGCAACAAAGAAGCTGCCTCCTACAAATGAATTAAAGGGCACATTGTTGCCTGCCTGATGAGAGATGTAATTTTATGACATCGCGATGATTTTATGGTGTTATTTATCATGTTGAGAGAACCACAGATCAATAAATCAAAGTCAAATTATTTAATAAATTTAGTTAAATTGAAGACTCAGGGCAAAGTAGGCAGACTTTTATTTTATAATGAGCTATACAATATCGCCACTCCTTCTGCACAAATGCGAAAAGCTTGACGCCGACTAAATCATATAGTTCAGCAGGTGGCAGACTGAGGCTATCCCTAGGTCCAGACTTTTCACTAGATTTGAAAAGGAAAACGTTACAACTTTTTTCACAGTTGCTTATAGTCCAGCAAAATGGAGAAATAATTAGTGGCTGGGGCCCAGGTGACTATGGGTTTCGCCTTCCTCCAATCTTGGATCTTGAATTTTGGGTGGTCACAAATCGCCAAATAGCGCAAAATATAGCTGGACGACAAACCTGATTTATTATGCGAAAAGCTAACGCTGAAGTCAAGGAGCGGTACAGTTTTAAAACAAATATATAAGTTTTGTGAATTGGATTTACGTTAAAATTGGAAGATTAACGAATACCAGAGAAGCTGTTTTGGTTCATAGAAGAAAAGTTCAGTTTGATACCAGGCGAAAGGGAATGTGGATAAGTTCAAAATTACAAATATACGGCGTCAGCAGTCTCCGGACAGTCAAATTTGCTATGCTACATGTTGATTTAAAAAACTTTTACAGATGGCAAATATTATTTTGTCAGTTATCTTGTTCAGAAAGATGAGCCGTTAAAATTTCTGATTTGTTTTGCAATATCGAAAACGAGTATACTTTGAATTACAGTATTGCCCAGTAAACAGTTTCCGACAGGCGGCAGCTGGCATTATTATAAAAATTCAGTTGTGTTGATTGTGCTGCGATTTACCATGAAACTTGCTTATTACCATCAGCCTCTCAGTGGAAACGGCCTGAAGAGTTTTAAACACTTTTTGTAAGTAAAATTCTTTTCCAAGGGATTTTACTACATCCCGGGTGTTGTTTGTCAGTGACAACGTTGTTTGTCCGTTAAGTAAACCATAAATTTAAGCGAAGCTTGCCGGTGGCGTATTCGTCAAAGGCATTGCGTGCGTACGAAGTGAAACGAAATCGGGGTCGGGTTTTTTATATAGCTCAGAATATTTTCTTGAATTTTTTAAAACTTTTTTCCCGCGGAAGATGTTTTTAAACCATGGGTATTTTTGCCTAATTTGATGGACATTTTTTATATATCTTTGAATCGCATTTTTGACAAAAACAATTTCATATGAAGACATACTGTAAACAAGCAAAAGGCAACCTTAATCTCAATCAATAAATATGCAATAGCCCCAGCGACTAACGCTCAAAAGAGCGTCTTGTTTGTGGTTGAATCACTGAATTTAGTGCATGGATAGCTTATGGCACATAAGTTAGACATTCAAGGAGTAGGTGGAATGCGATATTCAGATGACCTCAACACTACAACAGCAACAACTAGGGAACAGGGAAAATATCATTATACCTACCTTCATGCATGAACGGAGGTCTCATCGTCGGAATCCGAGCCATAGCAGGGGGGATGGGGTTTACGTTAGGTGGGTGCGAGGTAGGAGGACCCTCAGGTGGACGAATAAAATGTGGAGCAGGATCTGTCATCGGAGGATGCATGGTTGGCAGTCCTGGGTGACCTTGGTAAGAAATTTGAGACTTGAATGAGAGATTGGGACAGATGTGAAACCATTATTACAATTATTTTTCCATTTAGAGAATTGAAACTGCTTGCTCTTTAGAAAACCTTCATCCAATGGAGGAGAATTCTAAGCGACTATTGCCTGGCTTGGTAACCACAGCGTGCAATAATACTTTTTTTGGACCGAAAGTATTATTGGATATATTTGGACCGACAAAAAAAAACATTATTGCATGCTGATGGCGTCAGCAGCTGAAATAACGCGACGGCTTTATTTTTTTTTTATTTTATTTATTGAGGATAAACAGATAAAGTTACAACTTTTTTCCGATACCGAGAATTATCCGACGCGTTTTGACCAATCACGAACGAGAATAGACTTTGAATATATAATAAATATAATTATTATACATTTACTATGTATTCTCGTTCCTGATTGGTCAGAGAGCAGCGGATAATTCTCAATATTCGGTACTTATTACGTAATTTCAGCTGCTAACGTGCACAGCGTCCAATACATTCTCGTACCCAGAGCCCTTCTTACGCGCGGTCAACGAAGCGCGACGAGGAGCTCTGGCCAAATCCATATCAAACTGGCATCTGATTGGCCACAACGAAGGTTATTGTTCTAATACCGGATATAGTCTATTACCATGTTTTTATGGTATCCGGTTATGGATTTGGCCAGAGCCCCTCGTCGCACCGCGCGTAAGAAGGGCTCTAGGTACGAGAATGGATTGAAAAACTGGACGCTGTCGTGCCCAAGCCCCGGCGTGGCCAACAACTCAAACCCAAAAGCGCGCGAAAATAAAATAAACAAAATGGCTCACAGTAGACTTCGTTTAATCGTTTTATACGTTTCTGATGTCTTAATGTATAATAAAACAATTATTGGTCAATGTTATTCGCCTCAGCTTCGCTTCGGCAGATAACATTGACCTCGGTCTGAATAATTCTTGATATCATGCTCAGCCTCATCTAATAATTGTTTATTATTACAATATTGGTCAATTACTTTACATTACCATTTACTGGCATAAGTATACAATCTTTAAAATACATGCACAATTCAAAAACATAATCATCAAGTCTTCGTTCAACCGGCCTTCAGATTTCAATCACTTCGTATCATTCAACAAACTAGTGGCCGTAGCTGGAGAACTAACCGTTCGTGCTTAAAACCCTTGATTACAACATAACAATGACATTGGTTGAAACAATAATTGTTAATACTTATACCTTGCGGTAAAATATGCTGTGGCGGGGGCAGTCCTTCCTGCATCGGGTGAGCCATTTCATCTTCATTTGGACGACGACGACTTTCAACTTTAATTAAAGTAAATAAAAATATATTTAACATATATTTACGTTTATTTTATAACAATAAATTGTAACCATTTTAGCTTTTCGTTCTAATTCGAGTAAAACAGATTAAAAACTTATATCAAATTGTACAACAAACTATGGGCATATAGCTAGCGTACAGTATAGGGGTGTGATTCTTTCATATATACTGTACATACAGTAACTGTAGTTTGAAAAATGATGTTATATACTCACCTCGCGAATTTTCTCCACCAATCACATCAATGCTGCCTTCTGGTTTTCTTTCAGGAGGAGGACCAGCTCTCTTTTTAACTGGAATGAAAAGAAAAGTCATCTATGGATATTACTAGATCCTTCTGTACTGGAAAATATAAGGCTAAATAGGATTTAATCAGTGCCATAGGTTTCACTAAATGCTGTATGCACAATTTTAATTCTTTGTTTTCATTCGAAGTCTTCAAAATTCTAAAATCTAAATCGTTTTAAAATCCGGCAAAGCTATTCCATTTTATATCTTCCAGAAACGGAAATCATTAATTTCTATGAAAAGTTTGCAATGGTAACGATCCAGTGATTCCGTTTGGAAAAAAATAGACTATAGAGCTATCCACCAATGCGATGCACACATGCTGAAAGCTACGTATTTTATTTTAAGAAATCTATAACGTTTCAAATTTTATTACCTGTACCATCGGGCAGGACAATTGTATCAGGTGCAGGTGCTGGAAAACTCGGAATCCCTGGTTGAACCTGTAAGGGAAGGAAGCGAAAATACATGGCTATTTCAGATCGGTTGGAAAACACCAAGGAACGGACTAGAGCCGTAACATGACAATGCAGAACCTAAACCCCGTTTACATTACGCTCAATTACGGCACCCGACTACCCGTACCACCATTTCACCGTGCTCAGACTACCTTTTACATGAAGGGTATGGATAAATTTGGTATCGGGTGCCAGTTTTATCCCTGCCGTACAAAAATTTAACAGTATAGTGTGAACGTGAAGATTATAGGGAGGAAAATGAGATATGTGCCAAACTTGAATGTGGTATAGGGATGCATCAAGGAACGGACTAAAGAATTTAAACATCCTAAATCTCGGCCTAAATCTGAAAGCGTGCAAAGTTAGTAGTCGAAGCTTCACCTGGCAATGCGTTTTACAACAACTGATATTTTCACACGTAAAAATATCGTATTTTTTACGTGTGTTTAAATACGATTTTTCTCAGTGGCCAAAAACTCTATATAACACTTATGTTTATATAATAAATAGGTAACTTAAGGCTTACAGTAGATGATAGAGAATATATCGCGTACTTATTATTTACTGATCAGAAAAATAACTTCACACATACTACGAAAGTTTTCTTTGGCATGTTGAGATCCATACGTAACCGTCTTTGCTTCTCACAATATTGTTTCCACGTGTCTTCCGTAAAGCCGTAGTTAAAGTAATCTGTAATATCAGCACCTATAGAACATAACATTCATGCATATAGAACACAAACATGACAAACACAGTCTTTGTATACTGCTTCTCAATCTGTATAACATGCATAACCTTGCATACAATGAACAAGCAATATTTAAGTATACTGTTTGTCCACCAATATGCAGATCTTGCATTTCATCTTTTTCCGTCATACGACTCTGTTTGAGTCCTTCAGCAGTACATATATTAATCCGTATGTACGATATTCCGGTTTACATTCCGTAAAGAATATGCGAAATAATTTTAAAATAAAAATCCAGTCACCTGGTTTTCTCCATGGTTTGTCTTCAGAACCTGTATCGAGGTCATATTCATAGATATTCACACCATTCACTGTACCAACACCATCGACGTTAACTCCTTTTACTGGTGCTAATGAAATAAAGTATACAAGTCAAGCCAGGCCTTAAAATATCGGTCGGTCACGGACATTGTCCGACCCATTCGCGAAATTGTCCGACGTAGTGAGGAAATACGCGGACATTCTGTCCGACCTAATTGAAACTGAGGTTTATTGTTTGTCCGACACGAGTGTATTGGTGTCCGACCGAATGGTAACTTTGTCCAACGTAAATCAATATGTCGTCGGCGGCGAGCGAAATGGTGAAGTGGAAAACGAACTTAAGTGTCGACATCTTTGTTATTGGCATGCAAGTTAATTTTGGCTTGGAAATAAGTATGAATGACACAAATTATTTAATATCTTCACAACATTTACAATTCAGAATTAATACATTATGCTGATATTTGTGTCATTCAGACTTATTTCCGAGCCAAACTGAACTGAAGGTCATCGTACATCATCATACATATGTCCGACCCAAACTCTAAGTCATCGGACATTTTGTCAGACAGCCCTGTAAAAGATATTTTAAGGCCTGGTCAAGCCTTTTGCAACTTGTTGTTTTTGAATTTTTTAATTGCTCCACTATAGCGAACTCTTCTAAATAAAAAATCACTACCATGCATTACTGTTGACTGTTTGCGATTTCAAACAGGTTGTTCATGCTTTAAGGTACTACAGCTCGTTATTCTTCGACGGTTCGCAGACTAAACACTATTGCATATCGTACTAGCGCGTATGCCAGCGTATGAAAAATATCACTCATGCGCTGGTATACGCTGACATACGCTGGGGGTACGCTAGGCACAGGTTGTATGCGTTTCAAGCACGGTCGCATACGGTAGCATACGGCGAGGCCCGACGAGACAGAAACATTTTTTGTGACAGGGCCTTAAATATCAAGACTACTGTAATCCACAATCGTCAACACTGGCAACGCGACATGTAGTTACGAGCAAACGGCAAACCACGCTTTCGACCAAACAAGCATGTTACAGTATATGGGTCATATTGTACTTTACGCAGTACATGCACATGCGCATTTTAATTAATATCATGTCATAATCTAATATGTCCTATGAAGTACTCATTTAGGTTTGAAACATAATTACATTAATTGAAATAGTTCTGAGACAAGGAACTTCCATTTTAAGACGTATTAAAGATAATCAAGGTTATATACCACACAAGTATAGCTTTGCTCTACTTCACTTTTCTCAACTCTCATGCGCTTTTCAAACGAGCACAAGACTGTCAAGAGTTGCATGAGAGTTGATGGGATATCAATATCGGTCAAAGTTTCGTCTCAATTATTAAACTCTCATCAAGATTTGAACCTGTTCAAAATTGATGAGAATCGATTAGAGTGCAAGAGTTGACAGTTGGCGGTCAAACGCGAACTCGTCAACTCTCACCAACTCTCATTATCGTTCGACGGCGCTTAGACATAGTTTTATATACTGTACATGGTATTTTTTTAAAGAATATTACTTCAGTTAATATTAAGAGGAGATAACACACTTTTCAACAAATTATACAGTTTGCATGAAATTTCGAAAAAATGTAACCGTTTGTTTGCGAAAGTATTGGATGGTGGAAAAAAGATTGAAAACAAATATCATAAACATAGAACAGCGAAAAAATACCTCCAGGTGTTGCAGCTTTAGCAGGCGTGCTTCCAGTACTTGACTTAAAATTCCAGTTCACTGGATGGCCGTAGGGAGCACTACAAAAAAAAAACGCAACAAATATCAACAGCCAATACTTTTGGGAAGTTTTAGTTCAAAACATTTACAAACAAAATCATAAAACAAACGAGAACAAAGTAAAATTAAAGTTTTTTTCTGTAAGACCATTTTTTTACAGAATGCAAATTCTGGTAATAATTCCATAATTGACGCACATGCACAGAGAAATAAAAGCATTATGAACTTAATACGAAATTTTAGAAATGCCATATTGTGCGATCAGCACCGTACGCAAAGTATACCCATGTTCCAGAAAAGTGCCAGATAAAGTATATACTGTATATAAATGAGAAGTCCGCTTACGTCATAAGCAAATATTTCAGTGACTTCACCCAGATATGCAACGGTCATTCTGAGTCCATAATTATACTTCGGTCACTACTTCAAGTAACAAATTGACTGACAACACTTTTAAAGCGCACTAATTGGTATTTGGTCACCTGGGAGTAGTTTTAGTCACAACACCCAGATACCACCGTTAATAAGTTGGCGGACAGCCTATTGTTTTCAGTCGAATTATCTCAAAAACTCGGGAAAATACGAACAATATATCTGCATTCGCAGATACAAAAATCGGAAGAGAAGTTTCATAATTATATAGCCTACTGTAATTTTAAAAGTTCTATCAAACGGACGAACTTAATTTTTGTTGCTATATCCTTTAAACACTATAATAATAAATGTTGCAATGAGTGTTACTTCTGCTTAACTAACCTGTATGCGTTAGGATCTGCATTTACATCGCCGATGATGATTTTAACATCATCGTCATCTTCGTCGTCATCGTCATCGTCGTCTTCATCATCATCATCTTCCTCGTCGTCGTCATCTTCATCATTACTCTAAATACAATGTACATAAATGCTGCAGCTTCTTACATCAACCCATTTATTTTACAGGATGTCCAAAATCAATCAATTCACTATCAATCAATACATGTTAACCAAAATGTTTTATGCGTGTACACGTGCATGCATACGTTGTAGTCATTACATGTCTTCTGATTGGCCAAAAGCTTACAGCTAAATATGGAAATCACGCAACCTATACAGTGACGACACATAATACAGTTATCTGCTAGCAGATAAATGAGCTATATGTACAGGTTGGCCCGCGCAGTGGCGTGCTGGCAGGGGGGGCGGGGGGCCACGCCCCCAGCTGGCAATTCTTGGGGGGGGGGGCGCAAAAATGAAAAAGGGGCGCCGAATTTTGAAAGTGGGTGGGAAAAAACGCATTCTCGTGAAAAGACGTGTTTATCCGCCAAGAAAAGACGTGTTTATAGGCTACAGTATAAAACAGACTAAGCGCATTGGCGACATACAGTATATTAAATTACAGACTATTTTGTCTAACCGTATTTGCTACCTCACAGCTCACACGAAATCGTTCATATAGAAACATGATCAGTGATCACAGGCAATGTCTCATTACCGGAATATTGGTCAGGTTTCGAGCGAAGCGATCACGGGAATTATGCCCTTTTTTGCTGGTATTATGCCCTTATATTATGCCCTTTATTATGCTTCACGAATCACGAGAGCGGCGCAAATTAGATAGTTGAAGTTATGAAAACTGATATAAAGTTGTGTACGCAATTTATAGTTGTTTGCACAAGAAGCATGAGTAATGTAAGTAATGAAATAATGCTGAAACATGCCCTTTTGGCAGCCAGGCAAAGAAACCTTAAAATGCATATGTGTGGGGTGCGCGTGTTATTGTATGAAAGAGCTTTAAGTTGTAAATGTGCTCAGAACAGTAGATCAGTAGAGAACAGAATTGGGATTAGATTAATCGCTGGAAGTAGTTAGCATTGCATAGTTTAAGTACTACTACTAAATTCTAACCAAATTGCAAATTTCGACACGTTATAATGCCGTTTCCTGACCATCAGATTTCTGTCAAATCTTCCCCCAAAGTCCAGGAAATGGCATTTCAGAGACTCTAAATTCAAAATTTTTCCTGGGGGAAATCCCTCGTTTAGCGGCCCTCGTTTATCAAGTGTAACATTATAGGGGCGCATATTGGCTGACAGCCCACTGGCCCCTGCAGAAAAATAGTACTCAGCACGCCACTGGGCCCGCGGTATGTAATTTTATAGCAAGCGGCAGTTTTAAATACACGAATAACAACAACTCAGAGATCCCAAAGATAGTGCAAAGTTGATATGACAACTGATCAAAAAGCACTAAGGGGTGTGCCCACTAAGAGGCCCAGATACCAATGTCCGACATCGGCCTTAAATCGACCCCACATCGACCTAACATCGAAACCCCTTAGTGCGCACACCTCTTAGTGCCAGAGGTGTACGAATCCGATCAGATTCGGACCAAATTTTACGTGTTCGGACCGGATTTTTTTTTTCTGTCGGATCGGATTTTGGTAGTTTTTCCGTCGGATCGAATAGGATTAAATTTTCCTACTGGCTATGTATCAGATTTTGTTATTTGTTAACGTCATTAAACACACGAAAACAGAGTTAATCTACCACTTTACGTCGACTTTTTTCGTTTGCTTCACAATTTGGATAGTCTATAGTATTTGTATCATCCAGGCTTCAACTAACATTTTGTTTGCAAAATGTTAGTTTACCCTGTTCCCGCTTCCCATTATATGTGCTGATGTATTATTAATATAGCTACGGATTATTCTTCATAATACATAATTATGTTTCTTTGTTGGCTTTACGAATGCAAAACATTTTCAATGCGCGTTTCTGCCGTTGTCAATCTGCCATGATTTTGTTTTAGCATGGTGATAGATAATTGAAGTACTGTATAAGTAACACATGCTTTTTTAGATCAGATCACAGATACGATATTTCAGATCGGACTGCGATTTTTAGCATCGGATTTAATTATAAAAACTTCGGATTCAAAAAGGCCAATCCGATCCGACGCAAATCCTCTACTTAGTGCGCACACCCCTTAATAGTACAATGACGCCATATGGCGGGAAAACACGGTATGGCGTCATCCCTTTGTATGTATGCTGATGACGTCATGGGCGGTGATGAGCGCATTGGCTGACATACAAACAAATCTTTGGCTGATGCCTGATGAGTACGAGTTCAAGTTGGCCCCAGTCCATTTCTCCAAACTTGAACTCGTATACCCGTACTCGTTCTAAAATCTAAACCTCCCTATTACTTAACCAGGACGTCCTGTTACAATAGGTGGATAAATAATCAGGGGTCCTTTCACACCATAATTATTTAAAGTTTCCAGACATTACAATAGTGCAAACTCACACCTTGTACTAAAATAGTACATTGTAAGCCTTACCTGTTCTCCTTCTTTCCCAGCTTCTTGTTTCTTCTTTTTAGCTTCTGGTTGAAATTCTGGTGCATCAGCAGATAGTTTACTTTCACTAAAAATCCATCATAAAATACTGTTTAGTCACATATTGTATGGAGTACTTAATTATATACCTGGGGAAAATTGGAAAACTTGAAGTATCTTAGTTTCCAGTACTGAATATAAACTACCAATACCGAAAAATGCCAGATCATTATTATTATTACCACATCAAGAATGAAAAAATCTGGAGTTTAAGGAGTCGTTTCTAACCAGATCAAAGTAAAATTCCTTACTGAACTCCTGTAATCAATTTCAAAATTTGGAAATGGGGATGGTCAACATTGTAATCCAAAAATTATTATATGCACTTCAACTTCAAACTCTGTTTCATTCTGTACTGTACTTATCTAACTCTGTTTGATTAATATTTCTGAAACTTATTGGCCAAGACTCTGCCTATGGTGGCCAGCAACAGCACTCATCAGTGATACCCAGCATTCACACCAAACCATCCAGCATTAAAAAAAAACTATCAAATATGTGGTAAGGAAGGATCCAGAGCGGATTTGTTTTTGTAAACACAGTGCTTGTAACTTAAAAATTCATCGCGGTAAAAAATTGTTGTTGATATTTTACAGTTTGACAGCAGTTCAAAAGATGCATATTTTTTTTCTCATAACAATTTGAAGATACATGATTGTTAACATTTTAAACAAATGGATAATTTGAAATTTCATTAAATTGCCAATTTTTTTAGTCTTGTGGCTAACACCCTGGCATGTATTGCAAGAAGTGAAATTACAATACTATTGGTGACTATTTTCATTGTGTATTTTAACAACACAGTCGAAACAATATTGACTGTACCAATGGCAATATTGACTGTACCAATGGCAATATTAACACCCACAGTCAACTTGAAATATCTCATGATGATTAAAATTTGAAAAGTAGCACTGCATGTTTATGGGCCAGCATGCACTCTGGACTCTCTTGCTTCCAGAGAACTCTGATTCCTAGATACTATAATTAATATCCTAGATACTATAATTAATATCCTAGATACTATAATTTATATGCTAGATACTATAATTAATAACCTAGATACTATAATTAATATCCTAGATACTATAATTAATATCCTAGATACTATAATTAATATCCTAGATACTATAATTAATATCCTACAGTAGATACTATAATTAATATCCTAGATACTATAATTAATTTCCTAGATACTATAATTAATATCCTAGATACTATAATTAATATCCTAGATACTATAATTAATATCCTAGATACTATAATTAATATCCTAGATACTATAATTAATATCTTAGATACTATAATTAATATCCTAGATACTATAATTAATATCCTAGGTACTATTAATTAATATCCTAGGACCTAGATACCGATACTATAATTAATATCCTAGATACTATATGTAATTAATTTTTCAATATTATCTTTGTTTGAAATGGCTAGTATGTACAGTATATTACTTAATTCACACCAACCTCTCTTCTGTGATAGTTTGGCCTAGATCTTTTCCTGTAATATAAATAAAATTAAATGAGATGCATAAACCACAAAGTACAGTATGCATACATGTCCATGGAGTTTAATATCAAGTTCAAAAGTGTAGTCTTTATTTAAATTCCCACAAAAACATAGATCAACAGACCATTAAGTTGTGATGGACCTTAATTGTAGTTGATGCACCCTATTACAAATTTACTATTATAACTACATTCACACTACACCAAAAAGATTGAAACAAAAAGCATTCAAATTTACTATTTTGAGACCTAAGCTGCTTGGTTTCCAAGTGGTACATACTTATTCCTTATGCACCAGGCATTTAATTCCTCCTTCTTGGAAGGCTTGCAGTACAAAGCTGCAATTAACCCATTACATGTATGTTGCATTGGGTCCAGGGGCAGCACTAGACCTACTATTTTATTAGGCGAGTGGATGAGTTATATAAATTATATCCTCTAATCGTGTGAACGTTTGCAGTTGCGATGAAATCTCACAATTTACATAAAAGATGTCAAGCCATTTGAAGACACCCAATGTTCAGCAACTGTTATGTAGAGCACCTGCAGACCTGCTTTGCTGCCCGTTGTTATGTTTATTGAACAACTGTGGATGAATTATTTTCGACATTGCTTTCTTTTAAATCTGATTGCCATGTTATGCAGTTAATCATTGCTCCTACTCTGCAGATAAAAGTGCACAGCACATTTCTTTACACTGCATGAAAACTGCAGGCAAATATCTTACCATACAAAGCTTGATGATTTAAAAGTATAGTGTGTAAATCTTTAAATTGTGGGACTTATTATCAAGGGCTTTGGCCAAAATCTAAAATGTGTATACTTACAATATAAACACCTGGGGCTGGTTGTTCAAAGGTGGGCTAGCGCTTACCCTGGGTTAAAATTTAATCTGCTGTTTTAGTTTGTGTATTTCTACATGTCTGTTTATTTCAAAACCTCAGAGAAGACAACTCCTATCGATCCAGACAAGATCTCTGAAACCAATATTTCCAAATTTATAGACAAGCTGTCAGGAAGTTTGCTTTGAATTTTCGGTTAACCTAGGGTTAAGCTAACTCAGCTTTGAACAACCGGCCCTGTTTTATTAAAAAGTTAATTATTGTGACAATGTTCAGTTGAACAAAATCTGACCCAGGGGTAGGGACTTTATCTTGACTCCTAAGTTTGACTCCTATATCACACGCAATACCCGGCGTATTTGTTGGGATTTGACTGGTGTTGGATACAAATCCTCCTGGCACCCCAGGGGTTGGATCCCTGGAGGGGTTGGATCCCTAGAGGGGTTGGATCCCTGGAGGGGTTGGATCCCTGGAGGGGTTGGATCCCTGGAGTAGTAGGGCAATGATAGACAGATATCCAGCTGTCATGATGTGAAACTTTGATAACAATTTAGCTCAAACCAATTATACAATCTGGCCCATTGTTTTTTACTAGCCCAGGCTACATCCTATAAACTAGGCCTGCCTAGAGGTTTGAGGCATATTGGCATTATGACCATTTTACTTTTGGCATATAGTATTTTATTGTTGAAACAGGTTGAAATATGCAGTCCTTGAAACTCCCGAAATTTCAGGTCGGCAAGAAATTACCGACCTAAAAGTGGTAATTCTCAATCTAAGTCGGCAAATATTTTCAAAACAAATAGACAATATCAGGGTGCGATAATTCAATATTTTTAGCCGTACCTGACTGGTACTCCGACAACTTTTGCCACGTACCTGATCTGGTACAAACTTAAGAGTCAAGACGTACCTAAGACTACTTCCGAGTCATGCATTTTTACACCTATGTATAGTCTACTGGTCCGCCAAAAGCTTTTGTACAAATGAATCTTTAACTATGTCTATGGTATATTTGTACAACATAATATAACAGTTTTCAAAGTGTTGACGTTGTGACTCGAATGCCATCGCTCATTTACAGTGGAATTCCCGAGGTGCTAACAGTCTGACCTCAGCTACATACAGTGTAGTTTTCCTCATTGGGCCTAAAAAAACCTGTGGTTCCGGTTTCATATCGCGAAAAATTAGGGTAGGTAGGTCGGAAATAAAATTTTTTTTTTAATATATTTTTCATGGTTTTGGCGTTTTTTTGCTGGGCGATTTTCAGTAGAGTCCCAACATCAATATTAACTAGAGATGCGTAGTTCCTACGGACGAATTTAGGCAAGTTGGTTCAATAATTATTGTGACAACAGACGCCATTTTGCCACGCTGTACGAGCAGCCCGCAACCATCCGGAGAAAATAGGGTCGCACGGTCAATCGTGTTGAGAAAAATAATAGGGTGCGCAGAAAAAAATAGGGTCGGTCGGGAAACCGGAACCACAGGTATTTTTTTAGGCTTTGGTATAGCATTGACAATTAAGCCCATGTATCACCACAAAACGATAACAATACGATAACTTGTAAACATGCGATGATTGGTAAAAAATTATGTTGGTGTCCATCCACACTACAACAAAAACGATAAAATTATCGGCGTTTGACGATAACGATTTTAAAATCGCTCACCCGAGCGATTTTTTTTCAGTCGGACGATGACGATAAATGTTTTGATCAAGCTGAAAGATAACCTTTGGGCTTTTTTCATCCCAAAATATGTCGGATGCGTGGAATTTACATGCACAGCTAAAATTCTTCACGGTTTTGAATACTTTGGCAGGTTTGCTAGTTATTGCTAGAAGTAAAATGTAAATACGCGAATAGCAAATTTCCGCGTACCTACGTGGTACTTGCCTAAAAACAAAGAAGTACCAGACCATAAATTTGCCGTACCTCCGCTACGTTGGTATGCGAATTATCGCACCCTGAATATCCAAATGAAAATTTAATTTGCTTGCTGCAAATACACGTATTTATAAACAGCAATTAATTGCAATCAATGCCAATAGCAAACAAAACAATAAACAAAATGTATGAGCTCCAATCGAACAGTGCATGTTGTGACCAAATGTTGTGACAGACCGTACACTACTTTACTAACCATATACTTTCACTTAAATCTTGAAGCTCACGATTTTAACATGTATGTGTACTTTTCAAAGTTTCAAGTATCACCTTTCAATAAAGGCAGGTGTAAAAGTCGGACCGGATCGCCAGTCCGGGTCGGATTAGGTCGGACCAAGTCGGATCTTTAGAAAATTTAGAAATACAGGGTATTCTGGGAAATGTTACTTACACAAATGGAAGTTTACATTCTTTCCCGCGTTATTTACACAGCGTGGCAAATCGGAAAAATGGATAGAACAGGTTAGGGGCACTTTAAAAGCCTTGTGTTGGGAAAACGTTATGGAAAGACGGTGAATTATACTTTAAGCTGCTTTGCTTTATATTAGTCGAGTCCCATTGTTTACGTCTACGCGTCATTAGCTGAATTCATATTAGAAGACGGATTTCCGTCCAAGACGGGAAACTCGTCTCAGACCAGAAACTCGTCTTGGTATAAATCCGGTTAACGATGGGTTCTCCGCGTTTCAACTTTTCCCGTCTGACGAGTTTCTCGTCTTAGACGGAAATCCGTCTTAAATTTATATAAGACGAATAAATCAAGACGGGTTTCTGCTCGTAACGTTCAAAAGAAACTTGGATGGTGAGGGTCTCCTATTTTTTCGAGTTTATCCGTCCGATAGTTTTCGTTTCATACTTATACCAGGCGGAATCCAGCTATTGCCATGGCTATTTTAAAATTTTGTGATAATAAAGCTGCATATAAGTATAATGTCTAATGAAAACAATAGTGTAGATGTTTCTGATCAGAGTTCTGCATCTTCAAATTTCACATGTGAAGCGTGTATTTTCGTTTTGGCAATTTGGCACGGCCGGACTAGTGATTCGGTCATCAATGCGATCCAGTCCGACTTTTATACCTGCACGATCCGACCCGGACTGGCGATCCGGTCCGACTTTTATACCTGCACGATCCGACCTAATCCGACCCGGACTGGCGATCCGGTCCGACTTTTATACAGTGCACGATCCGGCCTAATCCGACCCGGACTGGCAATCCAATCCGACTTTTACACCTGCCTTTTCAATAATGAAATTGCAATGTTTACACAAGGATTAAATTTGATACTCGCAAAGCGACGCAAGCTAATGATCAAAACCTGATAATTAAAACATCATTGTTGAAAATGCGTATGTGGAAGATGCGTTCGCGGAAAAAATGCCGAGACGTATTTGAAAGTAGGTCGGCAAAATTTTGCCGACCTAAATCTACACATATCGCGCTTTGCAGGTCGGCATTGCCGAATGCTGACCTGAGTTTCAAGGACTGAATACGGGTACCAGTGTGGAAAGTTTGTATCGCGCGGCGGATATCTCCGGCACGCAATTTTGATGCTTTCTATATATTTAAAATTTTGTATATTTGAAATCTCCGGTGCGCAATTTCCAAACTTTCCAGTCAGGTATGGGTATAAACTATCAAGTATCCACGCATACAGACATAGCCTGGAATTATATGTACAGTGGCAAACTGAGCTATTATCAAGTATACTGATATTCTTCTAACCACCCTGGCTGGACAGTATAAACAGCTCCCTGGAGCAGCAGTGAGGTACTTTAATTTGGCCAATGGAATTCATGGAATCATGGCAACTTATCTATTATAAAGAATACAGTGACTACTCCGACACAGAAAACGTCAACTTAACTAACACTGTTCACGGAGTATTTTGCTTGACCTGACACTGATATTTAATTGACTGGATATTTAGTATGTGTTTATTTGACGTGATTGGAAAGTTAAAACTCAAATAGTAGTGAGAGTACAAAGCGATATAAAACAAATATAAAAGTTCAAATTATCCAGCGTTTCATTTCACATATCAACATTTCACGACATTAACATTACGCCATTGACTTACGAATTTCAAATTTTCATTTACAACTTTTAAAAAGCCCAGACCTCACCTTTTCCATACAAAAACTGTTCATCATCTTCTTGCTCTGTGGCCGCCATGATGCATAGTGTTGCACTTGCATACTTGCATACACACTACACGCGCGAGGAAAATAACGCGTCGCGTTGCACTCCTCGCGAGGGCCCCTCGTGAGCTGAGAACAAAAAAGAACAAAGTTCGAATTCGGCAAAATTTTGTTAAAAGTTTCAATCACTGACAGGGCGTAGGAACCGGGGTAGACTTGCTCCAAGTCTCTCTTTCATTGTCATATAGTATCCAAACTAAAACAATTTATCTAATTAAGTTGAACAATTTATCTAATTAAGTTGAGTTTTTTTCTAACTATGAAGTATAATTATATATAATCCATTTGTAAATATTTTATAGTTTTTAAATAAGCACAGTATAGTTTACCATGTATAATATAGATATATATTGCAGGACCTCCCTGAAAAACACTTCGGTGAGTGGAGCTTCCTGAATAAATATTATTATTATTATTATTATTATCCTTATCGATCCACTGTAGTGTACATTACATGACGTAGTACGGAGGGGCGGAGCGAGAAAGAGAGACTTGTCAACTTCGGAAAATCTCGGTTCAAAACTGAACCGAAAATGCAAGACTTGCTTTAATTGTTTTCTGTCAGTGTTTACATAGGCGTACCGGGCGGGGGGGCGGGGGGGGGGGGCGGTAGCCCCCCCAGTTTTTTGGGCAGTCGGGCAATATTCGATTAACAGTCGGGCAATTTTAGGTTGTTATGAAAAAAAATCGGACAAATTGTGTCATTTTTTTCGAAAATTTAGTCCATTTTGTGGCAAATGTAGTTTTTTGGGATGTCCGGAAAATTTTTTTGACCCCTTAAATGGTACACTGACCGAAATTTTTTTGGCGACGGGTGATTTGGCGACGCCCATGAGTGTTTATATGTATTGATCTAGCACAGTGTAAATAACATGAGTTCCATTATAGTAAATAATGCAGAAAGAAATTGAAGGAAAACAATTAAAGCACAAGTATTGCATTTTCGGTTCAGTTTTGAAGTTGACAAGTCTCGCTCCACCCCTCCGCACTACGTCATGTAATGTACACTATAGTGGATCGCCCGACACTATATGACAATGAAAGAGAGACTTGGAGCAAGTCTAGAACCGGGGGGCCAGGGCGGGGGGGGGGTTGCCAAGTGCCCTTTTTCCGGGAGCAAAGTGCCCTTTTTTGCGCGAAAAATTTTCATTAAGATTGCATTTTTTGCCCAGAGGGCACTTCTGAAAACAGAATCTATGTTATTTCCGAAAAATGTTTTTCATTTTCGAGAAAAATATCATATATCCGCAAAATTTTTGGGTATGTCCGGAAAATTTTTTTCGTATTTCGGAAAAAAATGTGGTATAAACGGAAATTTTTTTTTTGTCCAAAAAATCTTTTCGTGATGACCCCTATGTCCAAAAAATCTTTTCGTGATGACCCCCCCCCCGTCGCCAACATTTCCGGGAAAAAATTTTTAGATGCCCTTTTTTTCCGAAAAGTGCCCCTCAAAGCCTGCCCCCCCCCCCAACTTTTAGAAGCTTCCTACGCCCCTGATCACTGAGGTTTCAACTTTCAATCCACAAATCTTATCACTTTAACTTTCTTTTACGCTTTCATTTTTCATCATTATAGAGAATAGGCCCGATTGTGCTCGTAAAATCCAAAAAAGTTGCTCGCTAAAACTAGAAAGTTGCTCGCTAAAAAGCATAAAAGTTTCTCAAAAGTTGCCCGAAATAAAAGTTGCTACTAAAATCTGTCAAAAAGTTGCCCGTACGTATTACGTTAATCAAGAGATTTATACAATTTTTGCACGCTCGGATGAACTTCTTGTAATTAACAATAAACTTTTTAAGTTTAACAAATAGCAATACAAATGTCATACAAATATCAACACGAATACCTAGAATAACAAATCTTTCAATAAAACAACATCGCAAGTGTTGTCTTTATAGCTCTGCGTTTCTTACGCTAATTATTTCAAGTTTGGGGTTCGACGAGAGAACACAGGCAACCCTAGTCCCCTAGCAAGCAAATACCAAGGGAAAGCAAGGGAGCAGCATGCATTCAAGGGTGTATTATTTACAGCATATTACATAGAATATTTAATTGAGCCTGTGCACATCATGTATTACCCTGTACTGATACAGAATGTGCACAGAAATATATCGCAGAAAATGAAGTTGTAAACATTTCAATATTTCAAGCTGTAAAGTTTTAATTTTAGTAAAAAGCCTAAAAGTTGCTCAGAAATTGCTCAAAAACGAAAAAGTTTCTTCAAGTTGCTCGAACTGAAAAAAGTTGCTCCGAACGCAAAAAGTGCTCAAAAGTTGCCGAGCACAATCGGGCCATGCCTAAATATTAGAGAATACTTGGGCAGTTGAACTTTTCACTCATGTACTTACAATAAACGTGCAAGTGCGGGAACAAAACAAAACTTGTCGAAACACTGAGCGATTTTTTTTACATTCTTTATTTTAAAACAAACGTGGAAAATAGTAGACTAGTAGTTTATAAACTTGCGAGTTGTGCCAACATTTTTCTCATTTATGTACGTGGCAGGTCGCCTCGTTTTCACTTGTTGCCCCGCGGGATACATTGCATTTACCCAAAGCCATGCACGTGACAGTTAAGTATGCGGTTCACGCTAGCCATATCATAGGTAGCCCAACAATGAGTGGTATTAATTCATTTCTGGTTAATAAAATCATACTACTACTCATTCCCCGACTACATTGTTTACGCGCGGTCAGATCATGTATGTATCTCTTTTCTCTATAGTATTATATGCATATTGGGTGGCAACCAACATGCTGAAAACTTCTACGGATCGTAAACAACGAAGTTAATGCTCTAAACTCATTACTGACATAGTGACATAGTCGCCTGAGTTTGACCTGTGGCTGCTTCATCTGTTGTCCTATTTTTTAACAATGTCTCTTGCTTACTATGATTATACATATATGAAAATATATGAAAATATATGACTAAAATATATAAAATGTATTTTAAAAAATATATGACTAAAATGAGGAAGGAGGATCATCCCCTGCATTTTATTCTCCCAAAACCAAAGATGAGCGAATGCAGATATAGCCTACGAAATGGGCTCTGCGAAATGGGAAAAACAAAACTGTTTTGTTTGAGAACACAATCAAATGCAAACAGGGACGTCGCGAAGCCATCAACATGGTGAGGCATGTTTTGACCAACATTCTGGTATTTGACCAAGTCGTACAAATTTTTCTGAAAATGTTGTCGACGGGGAGGGGTCAAAAAAAATTTCCGGACTAACATAAGCATAGTCAAAAAAAATTTTCCGGACTAACATAAGCATATTCAAAATTTTTCGACCAAGATTAGCAAGGCTTCCAATTTTTTCACCACAAACATAACAAAAGCTTTAAAATTGTTAAAATTGCGAACCATTTCATAACTTCCACCATCTTTTATCCCAATCTTTGACCAAATTTTCCGAGTTTTACCATCAATTTTAAGCAAATATCAGTTCCATTTTGACCAACTTTGTGCAAATATCAGTTCCACTTTGACCACATCCCCCCCCCCCCCAAAAAAAGCGACGTCCCTAAATGCAAAACTTTAAGATTAGAACAATGTTTTATATAGTTTTAGTAATACCTTGTACTCGTTAATTCAGCGTAAGTACTGCAAGAGAGTTTCAATCAACATCAATTATCAATTATGTACACACATGACAATAGATGATGTTATACAGTATAGAAGACAATGACATATCGCACAATTGGAAAAAGGTTTTTTCTACGAATAAGGCAACCACGCCCATGACAAGAACAACGATGGCGACAAACCATATAACTCCAACGATAGTTACAATTCGTTTGAATGTCACAATTTTTGGATACTTCAAAGGTCTTATTACGGAGACAAGGCGGTTCAGAGTCAAAAGGAAAATACTTCCGGGCGTCGCTGCAGCAACACAATTGATCACTTTCGTAAAAATGCTGTAAATAGGGTGACAGTGACAGATATAAAAAGCAGAACGAGCAGTGTGCATATCAGAAAATCCGCACAAGCTTGGCCAGGCTCAAGACGAAGAGATTCGCTGATACGTCAGCATATGCAAATCCGTCAGTGAAAGAAATTGAGAGAATCAGGATGAGATTTGTAGAAATCAATGAATACGAGAAAAACATCGAGAGCTGCAGTTTCTACTTCGGTTAGGTATGGCTTATTGTGGAAGTCGTTTCATCCGATTCGAGAGTTTGGCTGCAATTTGAAATGTTTGTAAAGTTCATTTTGGTCTTTCTTTTCTTTGATTTCCTCTGATTAATTTAATATTGCTACTTTCCAGCCATACCTACCTCCTCCGCAGGCCATACAGCCCGTAATGAGTATGCCCGTTCGCAGGTTAAAAGTTGAAATCTGAGACGAAGGCTTGTGCAGCTAGCCTGGTAAGGCCATAGATATCTCATATACACTAGATAGCGCATCTCTTTTAGTAAAATTGAAGCCAAGAATATTCCAGCGGCAGTGCCGTAGCAAGCATCGATAATTGGGGGGGCTATTATTCATATATTCGTGTTCACAGACCAGCTATTATTCATATATTCGTGTTCACAGACAGTTCGATTTCAAAAGAAATTAATAACGCAGAACACGAATATATGAATATGAGCCCCCCAATTATCGAGCTTGCTACGGCACTGTCCAGCGGTTACCCCCATTTGTATAGATGGCGGCCATGTTGGTATTTTCCACTCGCTAATAAACACTTAAAAAACAACAATAACTTTCATCATTTGAATAGTTTAAAAATGTATTTGGAATAAGTTTACCTTAATATTTAAGCCCGTGTTTAAGAAATAGAAAACATACGAATCTTCTCATTTCATGGGAATATCCTGAGTCTGCAATCACGGCCATGGGCGTACCGGAAGGAAAAAATTAGGGGGGCGGAAAGAAATTTGCCCGACTTTTCCGGATTGTGCCCGAGCAGTACTGAAATTTTTTTTTCCGGAATTTGTTGTGGCGACTTCCCCTCCCCCCCCCCTTTCTTCAAAAACATGGCACATGGTCTGCCAATCTTTAGCAATCCGGCTTGTTTTGCGACAATTTTCTAAATACATCTTGGCAGTTATGGCTGATAAAAGCGACGAGAAGCTTCAAAGAATGGAAGGTTTTACAAGCAGCCTGATTGGATTCCGATACCCATCAGTAGGGATAACAGCCAAATTAAAGTTTCAAATTTACAGGGGGGCTCCACAAGTAGGCTAGTTTGATTTAATCTTTCTAGTTGAAACATGGTCAAACAAAACTGACAGCATTCCTGGTTTCAAGGAAATATCTACATGTACGGCAACGCCTAAAACAAATTCTAGTTGTCGTAAATCAGGCGGTATCACATTGTTAATTAAGAATACACTTCAGCCACTGATTTACACTGAAAAATTAACTAAAAACTTCCTATGGTGCCGTATTGATAAATCAATTTTGGATTCCCCACATGACCTGTTTATATGTGGTGTTTATATTCCTCCAGAAAAATCACCATACTATGATGAAGAAATATTTAAAGATTTAGAAAATGATATTGCAGAATTCTCCACAAAAGGAAACATCATGTTACTAGGAGATTTCAATGCCCGCACAAGTAAACTAGAAGATTTTGTGTCCAAAGAAGGAAGTACCTTTATAGGTGACATTACCGAAACATCCTACACCCCGAAAAATAGGGAGAATTTTGATAGCACAGTGAACAACCATGGAAAATGTTTAATTGAGCTATGTAAGACCTGTAACTTAAGGATCTTAAATGGCAGAACACTAGGTGATTCATTTGGTAAACCAACTTTCCATGGAAAAAATGGAACCAGTCTAGTTGATTACATCATCTGTGACCAAGATTTAATCCAAAATATTAAACATTTCACTGTAAAACCTCCAACATATTTATCTGACCACAGTCAAATCTTAACATGGATCAGAACAAAACAACAAAACACTCCAGAATCCACTTATCCCACTCCTACAAATACATCTACCACTACAATTTCACATAAGCTCCCCTTACAGTTTATATGGGAGATCAACACAGCAACTACTTTCAAGGAAAACTTGAAATCAACTTATACTCAAAGAAAACTTGACGAATTAATTAATTCAAACCCTCCTGCAACCAAAGAAGGTTTGAATAACTTTTCTAATCAATTTCAAGAAATAATTTCAGATGCGGCTAAGAAGTCACTTAGAATTAAAAAGACTAAATATAGAAATAAAATCACAAATGTATGTAACAAAAAATGGTTTGACAAAGAATGTCGTCTAAAAAGGCACTTTGTCAGAAAACTAGCAAATCAAAAACACAGAGATCCCTTGAACTCCGAAATTCGAAAGAAATACCATGAGGCTCTAAAGATATATAAAGATACCTTGAAACATAAAAAAGAAATTTTTCATGAGAAAAAACTCGAGGATTTGGAAATAGCTGCCGAGACTGACCCAAATTCATTCTGGAAAAACCTGAAAAACATGAGTGACAGCTGTGATGATCTCTCTTCTAGCTCAACACAAATAACCAACCAAAAATGGATATCGCACTTTGAAAATCTACATACAAAACACAACTTAGGCCCCAAGCAAGAAGGTATCCTTAAAAATTTAGAACTTCTTGAAAACAACATTGATGACAATAACACTCTTGATGACCCAATTACAGAAGACGACATTATAAGTGCAGCTACAAAACTAAAGCATAAGAAATCTGCCTACTCTGATAGGATAAGGAACGAAATGATAAAATTTAGTGTGAACATTCTGCTTAAAGGCTATCATAAATTGTTTAATATGATTCTAGAGTGTGGAATTTTCCCTGAGAAATGGTGCGAAGGTCTTTTAACCCCTATTTTTAAATCTGGAGACAAACAAGATCCTAACAACTACAGAGGAATATGTGTGACAAGTTGTATTGGCAAATTCTTCTGTTTAATTCTAAATAAACGATTGAATGATTTCACACAAGAAAATAATTTAGTTCACCATTCGCAAATTGGATTTCAATCAAGACATAGAACAGCCGATCACGTTTTCACCCTAAAAACGTTAATTGATAAGCATGTCACCCAAAACAAAAACAATAAAATTTATGCATGCTTTGTTGACTTCAAAAAAGCATTTGACTCTGTCTGGCATGAAGGCCTATACTCTAAACTATTAAAATACAAAATTGGGGGAAATTTTTATCGTCTAATTAAGAGCCTTTATTCTAACTCTAAATGTGC